GTGTGAACAAAGCATCTAAAATATGGAGGCTGTAGTTAGACTATGACAGCAGCTAAAATTTTTTTAAGACTTTGATATTTGTCACTCCTTTTCAACATGGAAAATTTAAACTGTGGATTATAATATAATTTTCCTTTTATAGGAGCTGTTATTATAGCCTGTTACTGTTAAGCTATATTATACCTATACAGTTTAAACTTACCAATAAAAGATTATTTCATTTCCTTTCTTCAAAAGATGTTCCCCATTTAAAAAATTCACATTTTGGGAATATGTATGTTTTTAGTCCTGGTTCTCAGTGGGTGGACTTACCTTAATTTTCCTAATTATTCTGGTTTATGCTGACTTTTCTATGTATAGAATATGATTTTTTGCCATCTCCCTTCTTTCCTTTACTGGTATTACAGAATTGCTGTGCACCTTCTGGCTTGATTATCAATACATTAGAAAAGCAGGAAGTCTTTTAACTTTTTCAGTTTGTTTCAGTGTAAATCGTAAGCTCCCCCAAATCATTTTCTAATTTTTGTTTTTAAAGTTTTATATTAATATTTGTCATTTGCTATTCTAGATCCAAGAAAACATGTCACCAGGAAATAGTTTTTTTAAAGTGTGACTTCAAGCCACATATCCAAAATTAGGCATTTGAATACCTTTAAGAAGAAATTACTCTTAAGTAGGCTTTTTAAAAAGCCTATTTTTTTTTTTGCTTACACTACAAATTATTTGTTATGATTAAAGTACTTCCATTTAGCAGATAGTACTAATTCGAAGAGCCCTCAGAATAGTTATATTCTCTCTCCTGCCTCAAAGACAAAAAGTTATCTTGTAGCAAAGGGATACTATTTTTACCTAGGAATGTGGTTTTATGTTTCTGGCTTTAATTTCAAAATTTTAAAACAAACTATTCATATTCTTTAACTCAGGATTTTTTTCTTTCTTTTCAAGAAAATAACTTAGGTATTTTGCCTAGGATCAGAATGTATCAGATTGATACTCTTTAATCAGTGCACTTTTTAAAACCAAAGACTCACTTTGCAGTTGAAGTTATTTTTTCTTATTATTGTGATCTCGTATTTAAGACGAACAGTTGTCATGTGAAAACTTTAGTTACAACAATAGAAAATAGCTCAGATCTAGCAAACATGACTTAAGTAAATTTTCATGCTAAAATAAGCTTATCTTTTCCAGATTGTTTGCCTACTACAGTTAGTTTTGCTTCAGAATATAAAAGTTGATCAACAAAGGGAGGGCTCATTTGAGAAACAGAAAATGTTAGATTTATTCAAAAGTACTATTTTACTTACAGAGGGCATAGGAAGATAAATTTCATGGTGTGAGTATGTGTGTGTGTTTGTGAGTGGAATTTGAAAATGTAGCAGTAGTCTATAGTTTGGCTTACACGAGGCATAATTAGTATATTTTTCATTGTGTTGTAGTCTATTTAGAGGATTATGCATTTATATAGGACTTTGTATTTGTTAAGAGGTAGGTGGGTTGTATTTGTAGTAGTAGGAAAGTTTTCCTAGCTGTGTACAGTGGCTTCATGCCTGCAATCCTAGCACTTTGGGACGCATAAGAGAGAGGATTGCTTGACTCCAGGAGCTTAGTACCAGACTGGGCAGTATGGTGAGACCATCTCTACAAAAATATAAAATACAAAAATTAGCTGGGTATAGTAGTGCATACCTGTGGTCCCAGCTACTCTGGAGACCAAGGTAGGAGAATTGCCTGAGCCTAGGAGTTTAAGACCAGCCTGGACAAGATGGTGAGACCCTGTCTCTACAAAAGTTTTTTAAAAATTAGCCAAGCATAGTGATGCATGCCTGTGGTCCCAGCTCCTGGGCATGCTGAAGTAGGAGGATCACTTGAGTCCAGAAGGTCAAGAGACAAGGAACTTGAGGCTGCAGAGAGCCGTGTTTGTATCACTGCATTCAAGTTTTCCTTGCTATAAGAATTAGAACAAGTATTTATACTTCTGTAAATTTCAGTTTTTATTTAATTAGTGTTTAATGCGCCTTTAAATATGCCTTTAAATATTGATATTAATATTGTCTAGTATTCTATTATACTCATACCACTACAGTTTTCTCATTATTGCTAATAAGACTTCAGATTTTTTTTTTGAAGTTGTTTTGTTGCATTTATTATGTTTAGAATATTGGATAGGTTGAGAAAGAAAACAAAGACATTAAATTTACAGTTGCAAGATGCTTGACCAGGTGTGGTGGTTCATGCCTGTAATCCCAGCACTTTGTGAGGCTGAGGCTGGTGGATCACCTGAGGTCAGGAGTTCGAGACCACCCTGGGTAACCTGGTGAAACCCCATCTCTACTAAAAATACAAAATTAGCCAGGTGTGGTGGTGGACGCCTGTAATCCCAGCTACTTAGGAGGCTGAGGCAGGAGAATTGCTTGAACCCAGGAGGTAGAGGTTGTGGTGAGTGAGCCGAGATCGCACCACTGCACTCCATCCTGAGCAACAAGAGTGAAACTTTGTCTCAAAAAAAAAAAAAGATGTGCTACACAGTAGAGTGAAGACTACTAATTATGAAATCTGCTTTCATCTATGGCAGCTTTTGAGAAACTAGGATTAGAGCAGGGAAGTTCCATTTTTTCCTCAACTTGGCACTGTGTCACATAGAGACTATTTTATGTAAAATATTATATAATTTGGGATCCTTAGTTTGAAAAGTAGCTTTCATAACAGCTCCTAATTTCTTTCCCTTCTATATCTCCCAGTTCATTTGTACAGGAAGATTATGACTTTACATTATCTGTAACAAAACTTTCTGTTGAGCATTTATGTTTCACATTAGCTATCATATAATGAAATTATTTACAAGGTAGTATTTATTAAAGTCATTTTATGTTACACATAAATAAGAGAACAGGGAAAGATCACCAAAAGCTTTACAGAAGAGACGGAACTGGTGTGGAGGAATGGGTAGCATGTGGATAGGCTGAGGTTTGTGTTATAGGGGGAGGGAGGGGGAGAGAGAGACAGAAAGAGAGAGAGAGAGAGAGAGAGAGTGTGTGTGTGTGTGTGTGTGTGTGTGTGTAGCAAGTACTCTCACCTTTCTGAGAATGGGTGAGGACAGCTATGACAAAATATGCCAGAAGTAATCTCAGCGAACACTGAAACTATATGGAAACGGCTTTGACTGGAAGATGAAGGGAGTTAAAAGATAAGATGAGGTAGAAAAAATAGGATCAGATTATGAAGCACATGCAAGGTTAAGTACATGATTTTAGTTAACTTTGATCCAAAGAGTTTTTAAGTACTACTTGTGGTTTCTGAGCTAAGGGAGATGTAATAAATGTGTTAATTTTGGAAAATTAGTTTAGTTGTAGTATTATGAATGTGATTGAAGATAAATGGAGCTTGGAGATAGAAAAACCAATTAGGAAACTGTTATAATAATTCCTAAGATTGAAAGCCTTGATTAAAGTCAATAGAGAGAAAGAGAGAAACTTAGAGAATACTTTGAAGGTTCTTTTTAAAAACAGCCCCCACCTTTTTACAGTTTTACAAGTTGAAGAATTAAAATATGGTTGTAAAATTTTAAGAACCAAAATTAAATAAATGGTGGTGGTAGTCATACAGGTGGGAAAGTTACAAAGGTAGCTATTTTGCAAGAAAGAATAATATTTATTTTCTTTTACATTGAATTTAATTGGTGGTTGGACATCCGGTTGACAGTTTTTTGTTAGAGAATTTGTTTACAGTCATTTCACTGTGGGAGGAAGCCCTCAGATAACACTGAGTTTCTTTATTATTATTTAGGAAATTCAGGCTATGTAACATATTTCCCAAACCAGAAGTAGAGTAGTTTAAGCATTTCTAAGAAGTTAGGAATTACTGCAAAATAGGACCGATAAATGTGTAAAAGTCCATCTATTTCCACTAAGTTTTACTATCTAATTGCTTGGCATTTTGTTAAGGATACATAGATGAATAATAGTTCTTAGAGTTACTTGTACTTAAATAGCCATGGTGCACTTAATAATACATAGCAGTCGAATTCACGCGTTAATGTTGTTGTTAGTAAATATAAGGTCATAATGTTTGACCTTGGACTTACCTATTTTATCTTTTTTAAACCTTATGTAGATTATAAAGCATTGTCTTTTCAAAGTTTTTTTCTGACATTCTTAAAACTTGTTTTCTTTCAAAATAAATTATTCTGCCATTTCTAAAATTCAAAGTTAAAGAATATTTCACAATGCTACGGAGCTTTTGAGTTTCATATATTTTAGCCTGAATTATCCAGGCAACAGCCAAAATTCTTCCCTTGTACTTATGGCTTGTGACAGTGTTGACTTTTCATATCATTATGAGAAACTCAGAGATCTTATAGATACATCAGATTTTTCAGATTTGGGAAAAGTGAAAAAAATTTTTGAAAGAAATTTGGGTTGATTTATTAATGACAAATTTGGGCTAACATGGCAGGAAAATATCCATGGAAACACCAGGTAAAGTTAATTGTTTGTTGCACCCTCATAAAAACTATTTGTACTTATTCCTTTGTTAAGATTTTTAAATAGTGAATTATGTTGGTAAGCCCTTGTTTTATTCTTTACAGTGGTAAATGTTAACCTTAAACACCAAAATTTTCCTTTGTTTTAATGATACCTTCCATGTCTGTGAGCTTACAGAACGTTAAAGAACTCTCTCTAGTCTATGGAGATATATGTATGTCATATATATGTATCTTTAGAGAGACATATGTCTCCACAGAAAGAGTGAATATTTAAAATATTTAAACAGTGTGTTTTGGGGAATGGTATGGAAAATGGAAGACATCTTTAATTTTCTGATGTTTTAGTAACTGGGACTTCTTAATAGTCTGTTTTGTTAATAAATTGGTTTTAAAGGCTGCTGTTTTAGTAACTGGGACTTCTTAATAGTCTGTTTTGTTAATAAATTGGTTTTAAAGGCTGCTGGCAAGTCAAGTGGTAGCCATTAAATGAACCTCTACTGCTGACATTAATTTACAGGGGCCAACAGGACAAAACTCTACGACATGATAGCTGATCTGGGAGATGATGAGCTGCCCCACATCCCTTCAGGAATCATTAATCAGTCTAGGTCAGCCTCTACTAGAATGACTGATCATGAAGGTGCAAGAGCAGAGGAAGGTACAAAATTTAGCTACCATGTTTATTTACATTGCAGAAGACCTTAAATCCAGATCACATCTTAATATTGCAACTAGGCTACTGTTTAAAATGCTGATGATCATTTTATATGATCTTTAGAGAAGATGTTGGGCAAGCTCTTGATGTAATTGTCTTAGGGATTTTGAAATTTCTGCCTTCTATTTCTTTATATTTTGTTTCTGTCTTTAATGTGAGGAGGAGTTGTTTCCATCACAGGTGAATTCAGAGTCCTTTCTTAAATGTAATTTTAACTACAGATCTAATAATGGAAAAATAATAATTTACAAAAACAAACTTAAAATAATACTTATAGAAAAACCACTCATTTTGTCTTACTGCTTAAATTTAGCAACTAATAATAATTACCACTTACTAGATGACAACTATGGTACCAGGCATTGTGCTTGAAAAATTTTTTTTTTCTTAAGCCAATCTCACTCTGTCACCCGGGCTGGAGTGCAGTAGCACGATCTTGGCTCACTGCAATCTCTGCCCCCGGGTTCAAGTGAGTCTGCTGCCTCAGCCTCCCAAGTAGCTGGGACTACAAGCACACGCTACCACGTCCGGCTAATTTTTTGTATCTTTAGTAGAGATGGAGTTTCACCTTGTTAGGCTGGTCTTGAACTCCTGACCTCAAGTGATCTGCCTACCTCAGTCTCCCAAAGTGCTGGGATTACAGATGTGAGCTACAGTGTCCAACCTGGTACTTGAAATATATGTTACTTTAAAAAACATATGTAACTGTTGCCTAAATTAATTCTTTGAGAATAAGGCAGCAGCATCATTCTTTAACTTGGTAGCAAGTATATGCTGCCTAGTAATGAATTTCATAAAATTTGCTTAAACCAGAAATGTGTAGAAAATGAAAGTACTACTTAAGCATTTTTTCCAAAATTGATTTTAGCCAAAGATATATAGATATACTTGAATCATGTATAACTCTAAGTCTAGATATTTATAAGTATTGAATCTGAATTTTTAACCAAAGATTATTGTGATATATGAGCTATAGTAATTTGGCATATACATTAAATTGCATTGATGTTATTGCCTTTGCTGTATAAAGAGCATTTGTTTGAAGCCACAGTCAAAAAAATTTTAAATGTATCTTGTTCCCTTTTAAGATTTCCCTAGTGGCACAATTTCTTTTCAATTAAATGATTCTGCATTTTTTCCCTCTCATAATTTACCATTTAATTCACTCACCTTAAAAAAAAAAAAACCACTAAAATAATAAAGTCAAAGCAGAATGAATGAAAAATAAAGTAGTGTCTGTTAATTTATTCACATCTCATTTCCACTACTGAGATATGTTCCTGTTTTACTTTAGAAGTATTTTCTACAATACACATAGCAACTCCATTATTTTTTATTTTATGCATTTAAATGGTGATTTTGCTTCTTTCATTTTTGGTCTGCTTTGCCAAATATGCATAATGCAACTTGTTAAAATTTTTGTAATTAATGTACATTTTTTAAGTCAAAGCCATGTTAGCAGTATGGGCCCTTTTAAATGTTTCAAACCAATGACATACAAAAAAAGCCAGTCAAGGTGCACACTACCCAAAAACCAACTTAGAGCTCTCTATCTGTGTTTATGTGTTAATGTGTGTGTTTTAAAGAACAAATATAGGTCAGTGATCTGATGCTGGGAGGAGGGTGAGGGGAGAAATTTGATTAAGTGTGAACTTCATTACAGTTTTTGAAGGGTTGATCTTACTGGAATTTGTTACTTAAAGAGATGTAAGTTTGACTTCAAGCTAAGAAGGCAGCACTGGAGTACATAATTTCCTTATTTTCTATGGCAGTCCCCAACTCCCTTCTTTCCTTTTGAAGTCCATGTCATACCTCATTTTATAAAGAACAACTGTCTGTTTTCTGGGAGTAGTACTTCAACATTACAGTCTTCTAGACTACAGCTACTAAAGACTTGAGACATACCATGTTGCCACTGTTGTAAGTGGAATCTGTTTGTTACCTGGGCTAAGTTCTTTAGGTTTAATAAAATTGGAGGAGAAAGAGTTCAGTATGCGAGTTACAGGTTTCCTTGGCCATAAGTGTCCATCAAAAGAAAGATTAGTTACAGAAGTCTGAAAAAAACCTTGTATTTTATAGCCCCATTATGCTAGTATTGTTTGATTACTTGACAAAGTCTCTTAGTCCTCCTAATAAAATATGTTAAAATTTCCATCATTAAATTAAAACTAAAGAAGGCATAGTAGCTCATGCCTGCAACTGTAGCACTTTGGGAGCCCAAGGCAGGAGAATCACTTGAGTCCCGGAGTTCAAGACCAGCCTGGGCAGCATAGCAAAACCCTGTCTCTATTAGGAAAAAAAAAAATTAAAACTACTTCTTTTAATAATTATATTTTTCTTTTAATTACTAATGATATTTTTGTGCTATGGATAATTATATTACCATTAATGAAATGAATTTTTAGGACAGAAATTAATTTCCTTGCAGGGAAATAAGGGCAAACAAATGAGTATCTTCTGTGATTACCATATGCCACACTAATGGGTAATATGGAAAGCAGAGGTAATAGTATAAAACATTTTTTGCACATATATATGTAAATAAACTCTGAATAAGCAGAATAGCTTGCTATATCTACTTAAGTATATGTCATAAAATATATGTGTATATAGAGTAAATGACAGAAATGTAGTCAAATGATTAATTACAAATGAGTATAATACTAATTTTTTTGTCAAGTACAATTAATCCATAACTCTAGTCAAACTGATGTTGTCCAGACACTTCCCTTCACATGCTTCTAAATTGGTCAGTGGCTGATCAGAGATAGTCCTGCAAAATAATTTGTTATGTTAAAGTTATTTTATTGGGCTTTTGAGATTTGTGTCATTGGATGTATAATTGGGAGTGGGAGGAATTGTTGCATTTTGTTCTGCGTTTTCTTAGAAACAAATTATGAGCTTAAGGTAAAAATATTTCTTTGTCCTAGAGAAAAATACTTTGAGTAAATATCATCTAATGACTTTTACATAATTGTCCTTAAACATAAGTTTAAATTAGTGATTTTATAGTTTTTAGCTGCTTCTGGTATTGCCAATAATGGCATACTAATAATTTGTAGGAAAAGATCAATGCTACAGATTATTCAGATTCAGTAAGTGTCATCATTGAAAGATTAAATACTTCTTAATATCTCTATGTATATAGTTTGTGTCAGGTGCTTTCAGATTCATTCTAGATCAAATACTGAATCAGAACTTCATTTTAGAACCCTATTTGAGTCAGATTATGTAGTTTACTTTGATAGGATAAAATAACAAGATATTCTAAATGATTTTTATCTTACCTTAGTATATATGTGAATTGTGTCTTCTCAGGATTATTTTCAGTACTATTCGTGATACTGTCGAATTTCATTACACCTCTTGTGTTTCCTGTAGCATATTTATATCATCATTTTTCACGGAAATTTTTAAAAAGTTGATAATCAGCTTGATTTTTTGCATAATGTTTCCCTTTTAAATTTGCTCATGAATTTTAAGTGTTTTGATATGTTGAGTTTTATATTACAATGATTTGAGTATTTCTCCCTTGTTATCTTAATACTAAAATTTTGCTTTCAAATCATGTTTGAAATGATGTTGAAGACTGGTGCTTAAACTATGACTGTTACAACAAAATATTTAGATAATAGTCATTCAGTTATGGCATAGTTTAATTGGTCAATAATATGTATAGAAAGGAAAACACATTTTAAATAATTGGAACTGCTAATATTAACATGAAAGGCTGTAAACTATGACTGTTAAAACAAAATATTTAGATAATAGTCATTCAGTTATGGCATAGTTTAATTGGTCAATAATATGTATAGAAAGGAAAACACATTTTAAATAATTGGAACTGCTAATATTAACATGAAAGGCTGTAATAATACACATGATATAGTCAAGAAAACTAAGAAGCTCCACCTGAGTTTAGTTTGAAATTGAAATGGCAAATCTGATCAGAAATTAAAGCTCTTTGGTCAAGATTAGTTGCTTCATTTTAGAATGTCATGATAACTAGAAAGGAACATTAAAATAAAAATTGTAGCCAAAGCTTTAAAAGCTGGAAGAGAGGCCGGGCACAGTGGCTCACACCTGTAATCCCAGCACTTTGGGAGGCCAAGGCGGGCGGATCGTTTGAGGTCAGGAGTTCAAGACCAGCCTGGCCAACATGGTGAAACCCCTTCTCTACTAAAAATAGAAAAATTAGCAGGGCATGGTGGTGGACACCTGTAATTAGCTACGTAGGGAGGCTGAGAAAGAATTGCTTGAACCCAGGAGTCAGAGGTTGCAGTGAGCCAAGATCACGCCACTGCACTCCAGCCTGGGCAACAGAGCAAGACACTGTCTCAGACAGACAAGCAAACAAACAAACAAAAGCTAGAAGACATTCTGAAGACCATATGGATTAACCTTTGATAGAAAGAAACTGATGTTGTTGGCAGAAGAACTTGTTCCTAGACCATTGTTTTTACTTGAAGGAATCTGAACAATCAAAGCTTCATTCTAGTGAACTGATATACTGTATAGCAGACTGTAAACTATTTACATTTCAATGTTTGTATTAGTTTTTATCGGCGACTAGAATGCCTAGTACTTCTTTAGAAAGTGAAAGGACTTAGCAATAACCTATTATCATTTTTAAAATACTGTATTAACTACTTTGAGGTCTTGAAGGGCATAGTAGAGGTTTTCCCCCATGAATGGCAAAAATCTGATATTTAACTCCACTATTTAGTAAAAATTTGCCCTATTTCTTATTTAACATGTAAACTATATTTATAATTGTACTGAAGCAATAAGAGATTTAGACAGACAATGCTTTTGTTCCCCACGTTCCATCCCAGAATAATCTATCTAGTGCACATTTTATTTGTGGACAGTTACTACACCGCAGTTCCATCACATTTATTTAGCACTGCTTAGTAACAGGATTTTTTGAGTGGAAGTGGGAAAATAAAAATTAATTATATTACTGAATATTGTAACTGTTAAGTGCCTTAATTTTCCCCACAATATTGTCTTGTACTGTATGATTTTTCAGCATTTAAGAAGCGGTTTTGTTCTTTATAGCTGAACCAATAACGTTTCCATCTGGAGGAGGCAAGTCATTTATTATGGGTTCTGATGATGTTTTGTTAAGTGTACTGGGCCTTGGAGACCTTGCAGACTTGACGGTAACAAATGATGCAGACTATAGTTATGATGTAAGTGCAGTTTTATTTTTAATTTTTTAATGATTTAATAGAAGGCTCCTTATTTTTTGGAATCACTTGTAAACAGAATTAATATCAAGGTGCATGGAAAAGAAGTTTGTGTCAATGTGTTGATTTGAAGTGACATGTAATTTTTCTTTTATAACTACTTTCTTTGTGGCATTTAAATTTTTCTTAGGTATTTTGGTGGATTAGCTAGAGGTTTGGGATGATTACTTTAATATATTGGTCAATAAATACATCTTGAGTAGTCAACTCTCAATTATTTCAAATTAAGCCATATTTTGGTGTTAACAAGAAAAAAAGAAAAATACCTGATCATATATTTGTCTTCAGAATACTTCTTAAAAAGCACGTTTTATTTTTGAACTTTTATTTTCTTAAGGAAATATTTTAAAGTTTCTGAACATTTTAAAGTTAGCTTGCATCATTTCCTGAATACTTAACTCCTTCATTAGAGGGATAGGGAGAGGATGGAAGGGATGGGGAGTCCAGTGTTAGAGGTGAAACTTGTCTTGGATTTAATTTTTTCTAGACATTTAATATTTCAATTGAGAGTTAACTATACTTGTTAGATCTTTATGTTAATTGCAGTTTTTCAGCAGTTTTTTTCTTTTTATAACAAATTTCCTTTTCTACATTTTATACTTACGTTAGCATGCTTTTTAGAGACAGCCTTTGGTGGGCTGGATTATTCTCATATTTTGTTAAAGCATATAAGCAACTAAATTCCAGTAGACTTTTGACTGCTTTAGAAGTGGTTTACAGCCTATCTTTACAGATGGAGAAATGTGAAGGTTAAAAGATTAACCTCTGTCAATATCAAGAATTATATTGGGATAAAAAATGTTCTTAAAGGGTCTTTAGTTCAGACTTTCAGAAAATAGCTTAACTTGCTGCCTTTAAAAATTTCACATGCTAATACATTTTCTTAATGACAACTTTTAATACTGTTCCGTTGGATATTTGTAACAACTTATGTAATTATTTTTCATGTAAACTATTACAGCAATGGTAATTACTTTGTTCCAATCTGACATTTAATAGGAGCTTTGGGTTTAGTTTGGTAGGTAAAAACAGATTAAAGAACTCTTCCTTTGATCTAGGCTATTTGTAAGGCTAATGAAATTACTATTCTGAGTTGTTATTAAATGATAAAGATTTGTTAGAAAGTTTTAAAGGTACATTAAATTTCCACTGGATATTTTAGCCAAACAGTTTTAAATATACGTGTTAAACACACCAAAAAGAACAAACACTCCACATGCCTGCCAGTTTACTACTTTTACCACTAAATATTGTGCTCTTTCCTTTTAGTTGCCTGCCAATAAAGATGCCTTTCGAAAGACATGGAATCCCAAATATACACTACGTAGCCATTTTGATGGAGTACGGGCATTAGCTTTTCATCCTGTAGAACCTGTGCTGGTTACTGCTTCTGAGGACCATACCCTGAAACTTTGGAACCTGCAAAAAACAGTTCCTGCCAAAAAGCAAGTGTTTTAATGTTAGCCTGGTGTATTTCTTCCAATTTTGCTAATATAAGTAATTATTCCTCTTATTGCATATCTTTAATGCACACATTTGATCTAATGACTATTTAATATCAACCAGTGATTTAGTTATTTAATTGCCTTCTCTTCCCCCACCTTTTTCCCCCCTCTTTTAGGAGTGCCTCTTTAGATGTAGAGCCTATCTACACATTTAGGGCCCACATGTAAGTTTTACTGAATTGGTATTTAATTAACAATCGTCGTTAAATATTACTTATCGGTTCTCAAACCTTGTAATTTTCTCAATGTTTGTTTTATATTAGAAAAGACATATTACTTGAATAATAGCTATATAATAATTTTATTGGTGAGAATATGAATGTAATAGTACCATTCAGGCCAGTTGGCAGTAGTTCATGCCTATAATCCCAGGACTTTGGGAGGCTGAGGTAGGCAGATCACTTGAGGTCGGGAGTTCGAGATAAGCCTGGCCAACATGGTAAAACCCCATCTCTACCAGAAAATACAAAAATTAGCTGGGCATGGTGGCGTGTGCCTGTGGTCTCAGCTACTTGGGATGCTGAGGCAGGAGAATCACTTAATCCCAGGAGGCGGAGGTTGTGGTAAACCGAGATCACCACTACACTCCAGCCTGGGCGGACGACAGAGTGAGACTCTGTCTCCAAAAAAAAACCCCACCATTCAAATGTATGTGTTCTCTTAAAACAGTTTTTAGATATAACATAAATTCAGAGGTTGGGAGAACGGAGATTTGAGTTCCTTCTTAGAATTTATCAGTAATTTTTTTTCACTCTCTTTTTCTACAATAGTGGCCCTGTTCTATCCTTAGCTATTAGTTCTAATGGAGACCAGTGTTTTAGTGGTGGTATTGATGCAACCATCCAGTGGTGGAATATGCCGAGTCCCAATGTGGATCCGTATGATACATATGGTAAGTAAAAGGATCAAAATGTATTTTTTTTTTAAGTGAATGGAGCTGACAAAAGTGAATGCCTCAAATATGATTACAAGGTTATTTAAACCTATATTAGTCACCTCATTTAGTTATTCAGTTTGCTAATAAATTGCTTTATTAAAGAGAAAAGTTAGGAAATATCATGCCATGGTTATTTAAACCTATGAATTGACACTTTCTCTGTTAAAAAAAACTATTAATTAAAATGTTAATTTAGGTCGTTACAAAAAGGAGAAGGAAACAAAATATAATCTAAATAACAAAATTTTAAACTTAAGAAATAGTTTATATATTTCAAAAATACCAAGCAAAAGACAATGGAAACAACAGCAAGGGTGTAAATCATTACAACTTTTTGGAGCCAAAAAAATTTTTGTTATTCTTAGCTTATATCTACAAAAACATTTTTAATTTCAAAAAACAAAAACCTCTTTGACTTACAAATGGAGCTTTTAGAAATCTGTCCTACAGAAAAGACCTACCTGGACCTGTGTTCAAATATATTTGTAAGGACATTGTTAATAATTATAAAACATTAAAACAAAATGTTTATGAACTCTTTGTTCTTTCTATTTAACACACACTTTGTGCCTACATTAGCTAGGCATTGTGGTAAGTACTATGTCAAGAAATAAGATCAGTCTAATGGAAAGTAGAGATATAAAACAAATAAGCAAGGTGATGGGATCTATGGTTACAAATTGTGATAAATGATAAGATGATAGGGTTTTGCTTGTGAGGGTCATAAGATGGGAATGCTCCCGGAACGTAGAAGTATCCCACCGTGGGTGAAAGTTCCCGAAGACCTGAAAGATCCAGAAGTGTTCCAGGTCCAGATGCGGCTGCTGGAAGCCATGTTCGGCCGGGACGGATGTCGAATCCCTTACATCGAGCAGGTGAGCAAGGCCATGCTCGAGCTGAAGGCTCTGAAGTCTCCAGATTTCACTGAGGTCGTGGTTTACAGCTCCTATACAAGCTTCGGGCCAAGCGGATACTCTAGTCTAAGGCTGAGTGGCACCGCCAGCACCAGGAACAATGGATGCTCAAACTTGAGGAAGCCATGAATGCCCTCGAACTCAGCCCTTGGATGAAGTGAACCAGCTTCCAACCAGGTTGAAGGCCAGGATGTAGAGATTAATTTGTGGCCAGAGCTGGAGTGATTTCTCCAGCTTGGTTTAAAATCTGTTCCAGGCTGAGGAGTTGAGGGAAAATCATCCCTTTAGGGGTCTCTACCTTGGGTCTTAGTCTTTTTGAGAATATCTCTTTGATGGTTGCCAGTAAAAGTTTTTCTTACCCATTTTAAAAATTAAAAACAAAAACAAAAACGATAGAGTACTGTAAGAGGGAGTAAAAGAACCTTTTCTAGAAGAATTAAGAAAGGTTTATCTAAAATCATGACATTCAAGCCAACATCTGAAGGATAAAAGCTACTTTCAGTAAAGAGTTTTAAGCCATGAAGTTATCTGATAAATGTAAGGTTTTAAAAAGGTGACTGTGTCTGGTGTGAGAAGAATAAATTGGGGGTGAGAAGAGTGGAAAGAGAAATACCATTTAGGAGGCCGCTGTCATACAGTAGTCCAGTAAACTAGGTGACAGACAATATTGCCAAGGTTAGAGTGGTGGTAGCAGAGCAGTTAGAAGTGGTTTTAAGATATACACTGGGGAAGTGTGGTAGAATAGAAAGGATTTATTGATAAATTATGTTGAGTAGATAAAGTGATAAGTGAGTGACTCTTAATTTGGTTGTATGTGTTTTTTAATTAACTGCTTTATTGAGATGTAATTTGCATATCACAAAATTCACCCTTTTAAAGTATACAGTTCAGGCTGGGCACAGTGGCCCACACCTGTAATCCCACCACTTTGGGAGGCCGAGATGGGAGAATCACTTGAGGCCAGGACTTCAAGACCAACCTGGGCAACACAGTAAGACCTGATGTCTACCAGAAATTTAAAAATCATCCACATGTGGTGGCATGTGCCTATAGTCCCAGATGCTCAGGAGGCTGAGCTGGAAGGATCACTTGAGTATAGGAAGTCAAGACTGTAGTGAGCTATGATGGTGCCAGTGTACTCCATTATAGAGAGAACCCATCTCTCTTTCTTCCTTTTCTTTCCTCTTTCCCCTTTCCCCTTTCTCCTTTCTCCTTTCCCCTTTCCCCTTTCTCTTTTACCTTTTCACTTTCCCCTTTCCCCTCCTTTCCTTCGTTTCTTTTGAAAAGCAAGTTATATCTCAATAAAACATTTAATTAAAGAATTTTGTAAAAGTTACGATAATCATTTTACTCCTAGTCATTTTTTTTTAGTGCTTTTCTTTTTTGAGACAGCGTCTCGCTCTGTCTCCTAGGTTGGAGGGCAGAGGCGTGATCTTGGCTTACCTCAACCTCTGCTGCCCAGGCTCAAACCATACTCCTGAGTAGCTGGGACTACAGGTGTGAGTCACCACACCCCACTAATTTTTGTATTTTTTGTAGAAACGGTGGCCATGTAACCCAGGGTTCTCTCAAACTCCTGGGCTCAAGTAATCCTACTGCCTTGGTCTCCCAAAGAATTGGGATAATAGGCATGAGCCACAATGTGCAGCCACAAGACCCCATTTCTTAAAGAAAAGTTAATGCTTAAAAATAGTATACAGTTCAGTAGTTTTTACTGTGTTCACAAAGTTGTGCAGCCATCATCACTAATTTCAGAACATTTTCATTATCAGTCATGAGTGACAAGAGCAACTAAGCATGTGATGGGAGCATTTATTGAAATGGGGGCTGTGAGGAGATTTAAGATGGTGAGTTCTGATTTTAGGCATGTTAAACTATAACAGTATCAAGTAGGTAATATACAAATATGGAACCCAAAGAGATTTCAATTGGAGATAAAAACATGGAGAGTCTTCTCTACTGATGATACATTAAGCTGTAAGAATGGGTGATACAGAGAGAATGTATTGTTTAATGTAAGAAGAGAAGATGACCTGGTACTAAAGTCCTCAGTAACTGACACTGGGAAGGTGGCTAGAGCAAGAGAGCCAACAAAGGAAACTGAGGAGGTATGAGCCAAGAGACAGGTGGAAGTGCAGGAGAGTGTGAAATCATGGAAGCACACTAAAGAAGAAAGCATTTTGAGAAGAAGGAAGCAGTCTGTACTTTGAGATGTTGCTGAGAGGTCTAATAATATGATAGAAAGTTTCCTTTTTATAAATGACTAGCAAGTCACCCAGGTCTTGGCCACATAGAGATTAGATGCTGGAGCTAAGACTGAAGGATGAAGGGACTATCCATATAGTCTTCATGTCAGACTGTATGGATAAAAAGCAATATAATAGGAACAACAACAACGTTTTGTATCATTGAAGAAAAATATTAAATTTGAGAGTAAAGGAATCGTCATTAGTCATCTTAGTAAGGATTGTTTTGGTATGGTAATGGTATCAGAAACCAAATTGGAGTGATTTGAAGAGTAAACAGGAGGTAAAAAGCACATTTTTGCCACTTGGTAGAAGGGGTGGTAGGGTAGGATTAATGATTTCTTCTTTATGAGAGTCTGGAACAAGTTTTTTTTTTTTTCTCCCCCCACTATAGTAATGATCCCAAAGAGGAGAATTTGTTTAGTAGAGAAGCAGTAAACATAACACTGAGTTAGTGCCATCTGGTACTAACACATCTGGTGGAATTGGCCTTTGATAGGATGGAGGACAGATTAATTACTTGTATCTGGAAGCTAGGAGAAGATACATTTAGACACTCCTAATCATTTATATATTAATTTGGTAGCAAGAAGATGGGGGATAAGAAACATAGAGCATTATTTGAATGCTGTATTTTCTCAGTGAAGTATGAGGTGTAGTCATTCATGAGGAAGAGAGGTTGGAAGCTGTGAGAATTGTGGAGATGATAAGAACCATTCATGGACAGTAGGAGGAGTTTTCTAGAGGAATAGGATTGTCAGACAAATTATGTTCAATATTATTAGCTATCAAATGTCTTATCAGTTAAGGCACAGATAAATAAAATATGATGTATTCATATGGTAGAATGTTATTTGGCACTAAAAAGAAAAGAAGTACTGATACATGCTCCAACATGGATAAACCTTGAAAACATCTTCATTGACGAGGAGGTCAAGGCTGCAGTGAACTGTGATTGTGCCACTGCACCCCAACCTGGGTGACAGAGCAAGACCCTATTTCTGAGTCTCGCTCTGTTGCCCAGGCTGGAGTGCAGTGGTATGATCTTGACTTACTACAACCTCCACCTCCCAGGTTCAAGTGATTCTCCTGCTTCAGCCTGCTGAGTAGCTGGGATTACAGGCATGCACCACCATGCCCAGCTAATTTTTGTATTTTTAGTAGAGATGGGGTTTTACTATGTTGGTAGGGCTGGTCTTGAACACCTGACCTCATGATCCGCCCACCTTGACCTCCCAAAGTGCTGGGATTGCAGATGTGAGCCACTGCGCCCAGCCAAGACCCTATTTCAAAAAGAAAGGAAACATCCTCAGTTAAAGATCCCAGTCACAAAAGACCACATATTATATGATCCATCTATAGAAAATGTTGAGAATAGACACATCTATAGAGACAGTATTAGTTGTTGCCTAGACTTATGGAAAGGTGGGGAGGAGGAACTGGGGGAAGTGACTGAGAGATAAAAGTTTCCTAAAATTGATTGTCATGATAATTATATAACTCTCTGAACAACTTACCAAAAATGATTGCATTATATACTTTAAATGAGTGAGTTGTATGGTATGTAAATTATATCTCAAGAAAGCTGTTTTTTTTTTTAAAGCATATGTTTCTTTATTGAAAATTGTGAAAATACAGAAAAATGTTGATGGGAGGAGGGGATAAAAATAGGCCATAACTCTACTCTTAGATATAGCCACTGTGTACACTTCAGTTTATCTTCTTATGGCCTTTGTGTTCATTACACTCAGTTATATAGTAAGCTTTCTTTATCAAAGTGTCTTTTAAATTTCTTTAACCTAATATTTTGTTTGTTTGTTTTTTCCCAGAGCCAAATGTTCTAGCTGGCACTTTAGTTGGTCATACAGATGCAGTTTGGGCTCTTGCTTATAGTGGCATAAAAAATCAATTACTGTCTTGTTCAGCAGATGGCACTGTTAGGTTATGGAATCCACAAGAAAAATTGCCATGTATTTGCACTTACAATGGAGATAAAAGTAAGTAAATTTTGCATCTATGAGACAATTTTTTTTTTCAATTTGGAATATATAAAGGGCAAAGTAATTGATTTATTTAATCCTCCAAAAAGATATATTGAAATAATTTTGTAAAAGTTATTTTTTTACTTTTTACTCCTAGTCATTTTTTTTCAAGTGCTTTACAACTATATCCCATAGTGCAGTGCTTTTTTGTTACCTATTTTATATTCCAGTTTTTTAAAATGTAAAACTACTTGTATATAATAGTGCAGTAGACAAATAAGGATACTCTTACAGACAACAGGAGGCACACCACCTGTTCCACATGACTACCCACCAAGACTGAAGGGATCATAGTCTTAAGCATACCTATAAACCATGTGTTCCATGACCCTGAGCATCCTAGTTGAGTAGTCTAGTCATAATTATTGAACCTCTAACTGGAAAAGTACAAATTGGGTTATTTTAATGATTTTAAGTATTTTCCTATTTAAAAAGGATTTAACCAGTTTATCTTTTGAAGATATTTACTGGTCTTATTTTCCAAGTCATTTTAAATTTTTTAAATTAGACCTTTTATTTGTATATAAAAATACATATTATTTTAAAACATTTTAGGTGAATAGTATATGTATAATTTTGTGTCTATTAGACACCTTAGCGATACTTCTTATTTTCAGTTATCCAAGCTTTAGAGGTAAGAATTCATTTAGATATTTGTTTCTGGCTTCATCTAGATACTTAATAGCTTGGCTCCATATTTCATTTAATTGTGCGTTGATTTGGCTAGTTTAATTTAGTATGTTAAGGAGAGAATTTGCTACTCAGGCCATTTTAGGGGGAAGTACTGCATCAGCTGATTCCAGAGTCCAAGCCATGTTCATGAGTCCATAAATTGGACTTGTATTAGCTGCTTGATAAAAGCCTACAGAGATCTCTGACAGGTAAGCCAGTCTCCCAGAACAGTTATGTGAGAATGCCAATTTATCATTTTACAGTAAGAAGTATAATTGGCTAGTTGGCCAAAAGACTAGGATTTTATGTAATCCTTTAGAAGAAATTGTATAGTAGAACAAATAACTTCTGCATGTATTTACTCTTTATGAACTCTGTAGATGTGTTTTTCTTATAATGTTAAATAGAATGCTATAAATAAAGTTTTTAAATAATTGAGGAAAAGATATTTCTTGATAACAGTATTTCAATAATATTTGAATTCCTTTTTCTGATTAGAAAAGTAGAGATTTCAAAATTACTTTATGTTGTCTGTCTTTGGGTTCATTTCAGATCATGGAATACCTACATCAGTTGACTTTATAGGCTGTGATCCAGCTCATATGGTAACCTCTTTCAACACTGGTAGTGCAGTAATTTATGATTTGGAAACTTCACAGTCATTGGTGATACTTTCATCACAGGTAGATTCTGGTAAGTGTTCGTGGAGTTTGTTTGAAACCTTGAAAAGGATTATTATACAATAGAGAGTGATCTTTTAGCTAATTTTCACATTTTGACTACTTAAATTTAGGATGGCAAAATTGTTTCATAATGTTACAGTTATATTATTTCTGCTTTCTTCAAATTGTGCTTAAAAGCTTGGGTGTACATAAGAGAAAAGAGGAATGACTAGAGCAATATGAAGGTGAAAATAGAGAAAATAACATAATGAACCTGACATATTCATAATTCAGCTTAAATACTTGTCTATAAATGTCCAGTATTGTACATGCAGTATATGGTGTGTGTTTTAGAGTTTATTTAGATAGGATCACATAAGATTTATGTATTGCGATTGGTTGATAGGTCTTTCAGGTCTCTCTTTATCCATGGATTCCCTTTGCTCTCTTTTATATTCCTTTTTTTTAATTGAAGAAATTGGCTAGTTTGTCCTGTCAAGTTTCCCACAGTCTAGATTTTGCTAGTTGTATCCCTGCGTTAGTTAACGTGCTTCTCTATTTCCTGTGAATTAATTGTAGATCTAGAGACTTATTCAAATTCAGATTCACTGGTTCTTTTCCCCTTTTTAAAATTTTAAAATGTTTTTGGCAACTCTACTTCATAAGTAATTTGTGAGCTTTTATCAGAAGTAAGTATTTTCTGGTTGTGTATGTTTTTGTGATGCTTTCAGTCTTGATTATTGCCTGGGTTCATTAATTCATTTTCTACCGAAAAATGATTTCCTAATTTTATTATTCCCTCTCCATTTATTAGCTAGATTATTCCTATAAAAAGGAACATCTCCTTATCAGTAATTTGGTTATCTTGGGGTTAGTGTGTATTAAGGAAAGGCAAGGTAAATGATTGGGTTTTGGTTTTCACCTTTATTTACCAGTTTTCAAAATAATGAGGTGGTTTGCTAGCACCCTCTACAGGTGACCAGTTTGTCTTGCGTGTTGTTTTTGGTATCATGGTACTGTCTCATGGATGTAAATGTATTTGATGTGTTTGAATTCATTGCAGGTATAATTTTTATCCCTGCTCAGATCCTTTCATTTTGGCCAGTGGGGCTAATTCAGTGGGGCTCAGGTTGGCTCCTCAGTCCTTTTGCCATGACCCTGGTAGTTGTTGGTAGCTTACTGATATGACATATGACAAGATGTTTTAGGTTCATCTTGTTCATTTTGTGCCCCCAGATCTGAAATCAGCTCTTTATCTAAGGAGTTGTGGTTTCTTTGAGTGGGAAATGGCATTTAGAGACTACAGTTGGGGTGCTAGGCTGTTGCGTTGATCCTCATGGTCTTCATGGCTCCTGCGTTGTTCATTAAGTTAGGGTTTTTCAATGGACAGAGCTAGTAAATAAGCATTTTTTAAAAAGTAAAATACCTCCACTTCAAATTCAGATTTATTTTGGTTCTCAACACAATTGTTTCTCATTTGATTTATCCCACAGTATACACAGAGTCGTCTCAATAATAATACCGTTACCACCAAAAGACTGACTATTGATAATAAAACTTTGTACTTAACTATGTTCCACTAGGGATATACAGTCTAATTACTGTGCTTTAAAGTCATTGGAAGTTTCTTCCTTTGTAGCTATACCACCAGTTGGATATACTAAAGTTCGTTTGTTTAATTTTATTTTTGATTTTCATTAATTTGTTTTAGAAAAACAACTGTCAGCTGGGTGCATTAGCTCATACTTCTAATCCCACCACTTTGGGAGGCCAAGGCAGGAAGATAGCTTGAGGCTGGGAGCAGAGACCAGCATGGGTGGCTGAGTGCAGTGGCTCACACCTATAATTCCAGCACTTTGGGAGGCCGAGGCGGGCGGATCACAAAGTCAGTAGATCGAGACCCTCCTGGCCAACACGGTGAAACCCTGTCTCTATTAAAAATACAAAAACTTAGCCAGTCGTGGTGGTGCGTGCCTATAGTCCCAGCTATTCGGGTTGCTGAAGCAGTTGAATCACTTGAACTTGGGTGGTGGAGGTTGCGGTGAGCCGAAATTTCACCACTGCCCTCCAGCCCGGGCAACAGAGCAAGACTCCGTCTCAAAAAGAAAAAAAAAAAAAAAAAGTTTAAAAAAAGAAAAAAAAAAATAGATCGAGACCAGCCTGGGCAACATAGTGAGACCTCATCTCTACCAAAAACTTAAAAAATTAGGTGGGCATGTTGATAGTGCCTGCAGTCCTAGCTTTGGAGACTGAGGCAGAAGAAGCACTTGAGCTCAGGAATTCAAGGTTACCATGAGCTATGATTGCATCACTGCACTCCAACCTAGGTGACAGAGTGAGAGACCTTGTTTCTTAAAAAAAAAATTGTTTTATAATTATGTAAGATATTTACATGGTGCCATGGTCAGATCTTAAACCAAAATTATTTTCTAAGGTCTCTGTCCCAGTATCTCCTCAAACCTTTTTTTAAAAAATTACCCTACATAGGTAACTATAACTCTCTGTGTGTGTGTGTGTAGATATATATTTTATGCGTTTAGGTGTATGAGTTGCGGTACACATATAGAATGATCTAAAGTCTATTAATATTGAAGATTTTTCTCTAATTTATTTGTTTTGATATTTCTCTGTTCTCCATCTTTAATTAAAAAGTAACAGCTTACTGGTTGAAAAAATCTCATCTTTAAAGAGCGTTAATTCAGTTTTTTGTCTTTTTTTGTTTTTGTCAGTGTAGGTAGGATGGGGATTGTTCCTTATAAACGTCTGACTAGCAGTTATGAATGTTTTCCTTCTTTAAAGGCTTATAATTATTTTATGGCCGGGTGTGGTGGCTCACGCCTGTAATTCCAGCACTTTGGGAGGCCGAAGTGGGTGGATCACAAGGTCAAGAGATTGAGACCCTCCTGGCCAACATGGTGAAACCCCATCTCTACTAAAAATATAAAAATTAGCTGGGCCTGATGGTGCGTGCCTGTAGTCCCAGCTACTCAGGAGGCTGAGGCAGGAGAATTTCTTGAACCTGGGAGGCAGAGGTTGCAGTGAGCCGAGATCGCGCCACTGCACTCCAGACTGGCGCCTGGCGACGAAGCAAGACTGTCTTAAAAAATAAATAAATAAAAATAAAAATTATTTTATGGACTCTTTATTAGACGTAATAATTGTAGATCTTTTAAAAATTCTAAACTACCTATAATAAAGAGCTGCATTAAAACACTGCTCATTTTTTCTAAACTTGAGCCTAGTACAGTCTGTATTATAGGACGTGATAATGTAAATACTTATTTTTTTTTTAATCTAGAGTCATTGTTCTCAGATATTTTGTTTTATGCAAAAGGTTTGGTTTTTAATTATTTGTATATTGGAGCATGATTAAAAAGGCCATTATCCAACTTCTTATTGAAGGTTTTAATTTTAACATATTGTCTTTATTTTTCAGGTTTACAATCTAATAATCATATCAACAGAGTAGTAAGTCATCCCACACTTCCTGTTACAGTAACTGCTCATGAAGATAGACACATCAAATTTTTTGACAATAAAACGGGTAAGCAAACAGGTTTCTATTTGAAGATTATATAGAAAATGACAATATGTTTTAGTCTGTAGAGTCGTAACCATAAAACCCTTTTGTTCAAACAACACTTTCATGGACAGATTATTTTTAACAAATTGCAGACAAATGAATATTTACAGGTCTACATTGTACACAGGATGTAAAATTCAAGTAGATGTTCTCTTTAAAAAAATTATTTAAAATATTTATTTTTTTTTTAGAGAGACGGGGACTCACTATGTTGCCCAGACTGTTCTTGGGAGAAAAAAAAAAAAAAGCTGGGCTCAAGCAGTCCTCCCATCTCAGCCTCCCAAAGTGTTGGGATTACAGGCATGAGTCCCTGTGCCCAGCCAGTGTTTTCAATTTAACACTGTGTTTATTTATTTTTGAGACTGAGTTTCGCTCTTGTTGCCCAGGCTGGAGTGCAGTGGTGTGATCTCAGCTCACTGCAACCTCTGCTTCCCAGGTTCAAGAGATTATCCTGCCTCAGCCTCCTGAGTAGCTGGGATTACAGGCGCCCGCCACCACACCCAGCTAATTTTTGTATTTTTAGTAGAGATGGGCTTTCCGCATGTTGGCCAGGCTGGTCTTGAACTCCTGACCTCATGTGATCCACTTGCCTCGGCCTCCCAAAGTGCTGGGATTACAGGCATTAGCCACCATGCCCAGCCTCCATTTAACACTTTATCAAATCACTCCTTTTCATTTTTATGAAACTGAAAATATTTTCCTCTGTTACAAGAGCAGAGGGGTTAATTTCCTTTGTGTTTCTAAAAAGATTTCTTTTTACTAATTATTGATGATTTACAGTTATATGGGAAAGTGCAGGAATTCCAGTAGTTATATTAAAAGCAAAAGGTGAGAGAGCGTAGAGCTATTTTATTAACAGAAATCAAGAAAGTGGTCAGTAAATGTTTATTCAGTATCAAGGAGCATATTCTTTCAAATTGTTTCCAAATTCCACCTATTTATTCTTTCTGTTAACTAGTCTAGGAACTAGTAATATGAAGATAATTGAAGCAGTATGCTCCAAATAATAGAAAAATAAATCTAAGATTATTCTGTTTATTACTCTTCATATTAATGAGAGACAGTTGTGGTTTGAAATGAGAGACTTCTTTGTCTTCAACCGGTAAGTGTTTAATAGTGCCAGAAAGTGATAGGACTTTTTTTCTTTTTTGAGACAGAGTCTCACTCTGACACCCAGGCTGGAGTGCAGTGGCGCAATCTCAATTCACTGCAACCTCCACCTCCCAGGTTCAAGTGATTCTCCTGCCTCAGCCTCCCTAGTAGCTGGGATTACATGTGCCCACCGCCACACCTGGATAATTTTTGTATTTTTAGGAGAGGCAGGGTTTCACCATGTTGGCCAGGATGGTCTCGAACTCCTGACTTCAGGTGATCTGCCAGCTTTGGCCTCCCAAAGTACTGGGATTACAGGCATGAGCCACTGTGCCCAGCCTGCTATATTACCTTTTATAGGTTTTTTGGAGTGTATTTTTGCATATTTTATTATGTTGCGGTTTTGTATTCAGGTCAACAGCTATAGCCCCATCACAAATAACAAAACTAGACCTCTTTCATATCCTTGTGTAGAGTATCATCAGGGGACCAGAGACATGGCTAATGATTATAATTAGAATTTTGGGGAAAGCTTGTCTTTAATTAGGGACATCCCAGGCATTCGAGTAATAAAGACTCATTGCTGAGTGAAAGGAGAGCAACTTATAAAAGTGTCAGTGTTTCTATTTTATTCTCTTCCCTTTTCCTATAAAATCAGTTTATAATGCTTTCTATCCATCCAAAGCATATATTGCTATTGTAGGATGCCCTTGCCCCAAAGTATTTGTGCAGTACGACTTTGTATTCACATCTTGTCTTTTAAATTCTACTTGCTGTTGAATTCCATTTGCTTGCCAAGTCTTTACTGAAGATACTCATTAAGTCATGTTTTTCAGAGCAGTGTTTTTGTTAATATCTAGGGAAATCTAGAGTAATTTGTTTACCCCCTCTCTTCTTTCTTTTTTAGTGTATGTAAAATGATTATATTTCAAAGGATAAGTGAAGTGAACTTGATACTGGAATGTTTAGGTAGAATTATATTTTCTGTTGAATTATATTTTCTGGTGATTTATTTATTGTTAGCCCAGAATATAAAATAGTCTTAAGGTCTGTCACTAACACTTTTCCTTCCTTCCTTCTTCCCTCCCTCTTTCTTTTTTCTTTCTTCTTTCCTTTCCACTTTCCTTTCAGTTTTCCTTTCCTTTCTTGACAGCATTTCACTATGTTGCCCAGGCTAGCTAGAGTACAGTGGCTATTCACAGGCACAATCATAGTGCACTGCAGCCTTGAACTACTAGGTTCAAGTGATTCCCCGACCTCAGCTTCCTGAATAGCTTGGGACTACAGACACACCTCACCACACTTGGCTTATTTAATACCATTTTACATGATCTTAAGCCTTTGATGCAATCCTACTGTCATTGTTTAACAGTGTCTATCAGATATTGTCAAATACATGTTACACAGATGTCTTTTTTAGGAGTAATTATCAGAGAAAATTCTGCATTTAAATTTAAATTCCTTGAAAACATTACTATAGTAGATTTACCCTTAAAACATTGTATTCAGTGAAAGAAGCCACACACAAAAAGCCACATATTGTATGAGTTCACGTACACAAAGCATCCAGAATAGACCAGTCTATAGAAAGAGTCGATTTATTGATGGCCAGGGCTTGGAGGGACAAATAGGAGTGACTGCTTAATTGGGTGTGGGGTTTCCTTTTCCAGTGATGAAAATGTTCTGAACTCTAGAGAATGGTTATGGTTGCATAATACTGTGAATGTTCTGAAAGACACTGGATTGTATACCCAGATGTTTACAGTGTAAATTTTATATTGTGTATATTTTACCACAATAAAAAAATTGCTATAGTGATTGTTTTATGTTGATGCTATATTGTAGTTTCTGTTCTCTCAAGTTAGTATTTGTGAAAACTTAATCTCTGTTGTATTTTGTTTAGGTAAAATGATCCATTCTATGGTAGCTCATTTGGATGCTGTTACAAGTCTAGCAGTAGATCCTAATGGAATCTATTTGATGTCTGGAAGTAAGTGTTAAAGTTCTGTAGTGCCCACAAACTTTATAAAAGATTGTTACTCAGAAACAAACTTTATTTCTTCTTTTACAGGCCATGACTGTTCTATCAGATTATGGAATTTAGACAGCAAGACGTGTGTGCAAGAAATAACAGCGCATAGAAAGAAATTGGATGAATCAATTTATGATGTTGCTTTCCACCCATCAAAAGCATATATAGCTAGTGCAGGAGCTGATGCCCTTGCCAAAGTATTTGTATGAATCAACAGAAACTTGCATCATAACAAGATTTGCCTGGACAGAAAGAGGGTCTGCATCACTGCCATCAAAAGGGTTACTGATAGGACACTACATGTGATCTGCCTGGTGAAGGCTATTTGGGGCAGGCACAGATTGGTGGAAAACATCTTATTGTCAAGCTCATTAATTTAACTGTAATTACTGTATTTTGTGGGACAAAAAAAAGGACTCCAGTATTTGTGGCCTGTACTGGATATGAACTGAGCGTATGTCTGTTTTTAGGTGTCTTTAAGCCAATGTGGAGTCTGATCTTTCAAAAAAGACTTTTTTTTTTTTTTTTTTTTTTGACTCTGTGTGCTGCCTTAGGGTTAGGAATGTGGTGCTCTTGTTGGGGGAAGTGAGCTCCAAGAGTAGCTTTTTTTCATCTCTTAGTGATCTTCTGTTTATCAGTTGAATGCCACAGATTCCCCTTTAAACTTATTTTGCTTTAAAAAAAGAAAAAGAAAATTTAACTTAAAATATTTTAGCATTAGTTGCACAAAATGTTTGGATAAAATTCTAGTTTTTATAAGTCTTTTTATATATTTAGCCTGTCACAACAGTGCTCAAGATTGTATTGAAGTTTTTCTGCATTATATAACCCTAAAACACAGAGATCTCACTGACCAGCTACCCTGTAACCACTTTCTTTCCTCCTCCTGCCTAATACAGCTCAGCTAAGTCCTTCCATAAAGATGCTAAATAACGTTCACCATCACATAAATGTCTTCATAAACCAAGGACTATTAAGTGTATTAAAATGAAACAGTGGGGTTTAGTACTCCAAATGAACTCTTAAAGAAAAAAACTAATCTTGGCATCCTATCACTATGTGATATTTTGTACATCTTACTGTATTTACAAGTTTATTTATCAAGGATTATCCATCTTGCTAATGGCCTATTATTTATTTCACTTTTTGTTGGTCTTTATATCCTTTTATTAATGTGCTAAAGGAACCTGTATATCTATTTTGGAACCCTTTGAATAGTCTAAAATAGACTAAAAATAGAATATTTTATAGTTTAAATTACAAACCAAGGTGGTTCCCCCTAAGATACATATCTTGGTTTACCATGATTCCAAGCAAAACTAACTTGTTTGAAAATATTTGGAGTAAAATTTTATTTGCATTACAAATAGGATACAAAAATAGTTGAATCAGGATACAGAAATCTGCTGTGTTTTGACTAGTTATCCCTGTTTTATTTTTTTAGATGTGCTTAATTTTATGGTGTAACTAAAGATTTTGTTTGTGTAATGCATGATTAAGACAATAAAGTATTTTTTCTAGTCTTCCGAGAAACTTTTCTGATCAGTTTGCGAGTTTTGATGAGTTTTGTAAGGTTTTGTTTTACAAACTATGAATCAGCAAATTTTTAAGATTGTACCACATAGTAAACGTACAGCTGTTGAAAAAATAATGTATATAAAATGCATATAATAAATATTAAATTGTGTACCTGTATGTTACTGTTGGCTACATCATTTTGTGCTGAATAATAAAGTGCAATACTTAACTCTCCATAATTAAACTAGGAAATGGAGATTTCTTAGTCCTTCATTTTTATGCTGTTCTTTCAAACTTTACTACTTATTGATATTCTAATAAGAGTAGATCAGTAACACTATTAATAATGTGCAAGTATTTCACCTCACTTAAGGATTTTTAAAAATCTTCCATTAAATTACAGAATGCAGCATAACCCCCCAAAAATGCACAAGATTCAGTTTTAAATAATTTGCTTAGACATCCTGTTACTTTATTAAATCTAAATTTAGCATAACCCTCAAAAGTGCACAGATTCGGTTTTAAATAATTTGCTTAAACATCCTGTTACTTTATTAAATCTGAATTTCAGTTAATGGCAGTGTTGTTCCTATTTGCCATAGCTGTTTCCACAAAAAAAAAAAAAAATTTAAGGAATAAACTACATTGAATATTGTTAGGTTGGTGTAAAAGTAATTATGGTTTTGGGCACCTGTAATCCCAGCTACTTGGGAGGCTGAGGCACAAGAATCACTTGAACCTGGGAGGTGGAGGTTGCAGTGAGCCAAGATCGCGCCACTGCACTCCAGCCTGGGCAACAAGAATGAAACTCTGCTGTCTTTAAAAAAAAAAAAAAAAAAGTTTAGTTTTTCATCGATGACTAAAATTGCCACTTAGATTAGTGGCATTTTTGCCATTGAAATGGCAAAAAACACAATGACTTTTGCACCAACTTAGTTAAAAGTTGTTTTATAAAGTTAAACATTAATATTTTGAAACTTTCTTCAATAAGGAAATATCCTTTGTCTTTGAAGGGCATTACAGATGAAATTAGAAGGGAACACTAGAAAACTTACGTGTAAAATTCAATTTGAATAGTTGCTGCTGCAGGGAAAAATTGCATTGTATATTGAGACATTTTGTCATCTATTGTAAAAATCTAAGTGGCAATTTTAGTCATCGATGAAAAACTAAACTTTTCTTTTTTTTTTTTAAAGACAGCAGAGTTTCACTCTTGTTGCCCAGGCTGGAGTGCAGTGGCGCAACTAAACTTTTCTTTTTTTTTTTTAAAGACAGCAGAGTTTCACTCTTGTTGCCCAGGCTGGAGTGCAGTGGCGCAATCTTGGCTCACTGCAACCTCCACCTCCCAGGTTCAAGTGATTCTTGTGCCTCAGCCTCCCAAGTAGCTGGGATTACAGGTGCCCATCACCATGCCTGGCAAATTTTGTATTTTTAGTAGAGACAGGATTTCACCGTGTTTGTCAGGCTGTCTAACTCCTGACCTCAGGTGATCCACCTACCTTGGCCTCCCAAAGTGCTGTGATACAGGCGTGAATCACTGTGCCCAGCAAGTTTTTTTAATTATCTTTTTTTGTTTTTCTGAACATTGAACTAGAGAACTAGCGGGGGTACTTTTCTCCTCTTTCTCCTGTTTCTTCTTTTTTGAAATAAAGAATAAACTTTCCCAAAGCTAGTTTTGTTTCTAGCAGCTATGCCAATCCAGTGCATTACTACTGATCTGAAATGTGATGATTATTGCAATGCATAAACATTGACGTATTCGGAGTGTATTAAAACTGAAACGAATAAAAATTAGTATATATGCTTATTTTGTTCTTACCTCCTTTGGTTGTATTTTTCTCTTCAGTATTAAACATTTGGAAGAGACTAAAGGTATGCAAAAAGAATGTCTTATTTTCATTATGTGTGCTTCCATTTGAGACATGGGAAATTATATAGATTAATTTCACCATTAAACAGTACTTTATACAAATTTAATATGTTGACTTTTTCCCTAATAAGAATAGTTAATCATATTCTGCCTCATATTTCATGTTGCTTTTCTCATTATTTCAAACTAGCTAACTTAGCCATTGAAGACTAACATTGCATTTAATGCATTAAGTTAAATGGGCTAGCATATTTGAAATCCAAGCATGCCTACTTAAGTTGGATTGTAATACATCTTTCCTTTTTACTCTGTTTCCTATAGATAACCATTATCTTGATTATGTTTACTTACAAAATTATCGATAGTAAATTAAAGTTCTGATTTCTGCTTTCTTGCTGCTATTCCCTGGTTATGTCAGGTGACTCAAAACTTTGTCCATTATAAAATTAAAGAAAAAGACCACTTTCTTAAAGGGGCTAATGACTGGTAGCCAAGTTTTCATTAAAGCTTAACTCTCCAAGAGGTTGTACTCCTGGCTGAGAGTTTTTGGTCTACTTGGGAAAAATCATGCTAAACCCAGTTTTTATGATGTTTAATTAAAATTATCCTTGTTACATGATTCAGTCATATTTGTAGCATTTTATAGAGGGGGAGGTTGTCGTCTCAAACTCATTTTCAAATTCAAATTTTTATGTAGTGATAAAGGCAATTCCAGTTCTGTTTCTCCCTACATGTTGTCCTTTTATTCTCCTATGCAGAGTATAAAATTGTAAGACTTCTAAAAGATTTACTGGAGCATATTCTAACTAGTTAACACCTTTCTCAGGGGGCTTAGTAGATGAGAGGAGGAGACAGGACCTGTCTTTAGAAAAGACAGGCAAGATGGGATGATAAAGTACCTCTCTGTCTTTTGGGAGAGTCCTTGGTGAACTAATCATCTAAGTCACATTAAGGGCGTCCTGATGTTCTCCTTTCGTAGGAACCAACTTCACAAACATTTTTAAGTAAGAAATACAAAACATTTCTGGTGAAGCAAGTACTCAGAAGCATCTTACACTGTTTAACCAGGTAGTGACTGTGTATAATGCCTAGAACGGTAGGTATTCAATAAACTTTTATGTCTTTTTAGTGTGTGTGTTTGTTTGTTTTGGAGATAGGGTCATGTTCTGTCACCCAAGCTGGAGTGCAGTGGTATGATCATGGCTCCCTGTAGCCTTGACTGCCTCAGCTCAAGCAGTCCTCCCACCTCAGCCTTTGAGTAGGTGGGACTACAGGCATGCACCACCAAACCCAGCTAATTTTTTTGTTTTTTGTAGAGTTGGGGGGTCTCACTGTGTTGCCCAGGGTGGTACTCCTGGCCTCAAGCAGTCCTCCCACTTCAGCCTACCAAAGTGCTGGGATTACAGTCATGAGCCACCGTGTTTGGCCTCAGTAAATAATTGAATGAAATAAAAATATATTCTTGGTATTACTGCATGATTTAAAAAAAAAAAAATTCAGATTGGTGTTTCCACATGAATTTTTACCATATCCTCAGAAGAGACACTTGCAGTAATAAAAGTAAGCCAGCTTGCAATAACTCACTAGCAGTTTTATTGCTTAAATATTCCAACTACAGTATTTCTTCCTGCAGTTATTTGAAATGTCTTTTTCTTTAAATGTTTATAAGCAGTAAGTACTTTACTAACTTAATCTTTAAGTACTTAGGTAACTTACAATATAAGCCAAATATATCTATATACATATAAAGGAGAGAAATAGAAAAATACCTGGCAATCCTGCTCTCATTCAGTGTGATATTTTTAGTCCTAAGTTGTTATGAAAACACTACAAAAGCAGTTTGATACAGGACTCCTTTCTATATACAGATTTTATAGTCTTCAGTAATAAGCTATCATTCATTGGTTTTAAGAAAATATGCACTTGGGTCAAAGTATGTATACCTGAACTATGTTAGAGAGCTGTTTTCCATTTAAGTTTTCCTTTCCTTTTTTCTTATATAATCAATACAGAATGGTTAGAGAAGGAAGGTTGCTGGTGGTCTAAATATCAGATTATTTTATTGAGCTATAGAATTTGCATATCAGTACATTTAGTAGGCATTTGAACTCTTAAGGTTTTAATCCAGATTATCTCCTCTTTTCCTGAGTTTCTAAGGGCCATGATTATGAAGCCTCAGCAGTGTTTTGAACAAATAAAGTACACTGTAAATTGTAACCAGAAGGCAGTAGCTTTAAAGGAGTGCTCATTTGCCTAAACGGCTGTTGCCATATTTAATATAATACTTTTGTATCTGATTCTGCTATGCTAAAGTATTTCAATATTATGAGAATACGATTTATACATTGGATCCCCTTGTACTTTTTTTTTTTCATTTGTCAAAATGTTACCATTATTGCTGGGATTCTAAGAAATCTCTACAAATGCCTCTGATAACATCAGAAACAATTGGTTCTAATCCTGTGAACTCTCTTGTGAAGAAAGCATGAGACTCCTTCGGTTTAGAAGCCATATCTTTCAGGTCATCCAGAGGTGCCCAAGCCACACCAACAGAGAAGATAGTGATTCCTACAATGGAAACATTTTAAAGTGAATTAAAAACCAGATCTACCTTATATTTAGAATTACGTCTACATGTTTTCCATACACTATTACATAGTTGCAGTAAAAACTGATTGCTAATTTCTGGATGATTAAATCCCCTGAACAAGTTTTCACAGTCATTGTGAAAAGAGTGGCAAAAGACTGGTTCAAACCAGAAGCTCTGCTGTATTTGTAGCTCACCACATTAACAGATAAGTCATGATCACTGATAAGAAATACTTGATAAAGTTCAATATCCATTCATGACAGAACACACCTAGTAAGCTAGGAAAAGAAGAAAACTTTTAACCTGATCCACAGCATCTTTTTAAAAATCCTTCAGTAAATGGAGATGGTGAAAATTTTCCCTATGAGACTGGCCTATCATCAAACACTATACTGGAGTCAGAGTCACAGTATATGAAAGCAAGAAAGAATGGCACAAGAGATGGGATAAGTAAATGGTAAAAGTGTTCAAAGTGAGGAATGGTGACTAGTCCTTTGGTAATGACAAACCTTCCATTTCTGTCTTTGTATTGGCAAACTGTAATAATTGGAAAATGGTCAGCCTATAATTCCAAAGCAAAACTCCAGTGATTAAAAAATACTGCCCAAGAGGTATCTATGAAACTGGAGGAATTTCCAGTTTCATTGAGGTATTCTATTTGCATTCACTTGAGTTACTAGAAGGCTTTTAGTACAACTGTACATTTACTTAGGGTGATACTGCGTTAGTTGGATTCACCCCAATCCCAAGTGTAGAAGTTTTCATTTAGCAGATTTTTTTTTTTTTGGCGGGGGGATAGAGTCTGGCTCGTTTGTCCATGCTGGAGTGCAGTAGGACAGTCGAGCCTCACTGCAGCCTCAACTTCCTGAGCTCAAATGATCCTCAGCACCCCAATCCCCAAGTAGCTGGGACTACAGGTGCATGCCACCAAGCCCAGCTAATTTTTAAATTTTTTGTAAAGATGGGGTTTCACTGTGTTGTCCATGTCTCATCTCAAATTCCAGAACTCAAGTGATCTGTCTGCCTCAGCCTCCCAAAGTGCTGGGATTACAGGTGTGAGCCAACCTCATTTAGCATACCCAACCTCATTTAGCAGATTCTTAGTGTAGAGTACCATCTATCTAATGCTGGGTGCAATTTTCTGTAACTTTTGGAGTTTCTGTAATAGTTTTCCTCTATAGATCTAAGTCTTCATTCCTCTTCTAGTGGTATACAGTATTCAGAGTTGTAAACACATGAGATACACAGCAGGTTTAGATAATGTAAAAGCTAACTGGAACGATTTCCAATTGTTCAATCTCCTTTCCTGACTCCCACTCCCTGGCCAAAAAAAAAAAAAAAAAAAGATATTTTTTTCCTGCGCCTCAGTTTTCCTCACTTTTCAGTTCTGCATTCTAGTTCAGATTGTTTAGCTCAAGCCCAGCATATAATTACAGTTTACAAAAAGTAATTGTGCCACTGTACTCCAGCCTGGGCGAAAGAGCAAGAGCTTGAAAATAAAAACAGTTGTGATGTAGCCCTAAAATCCTACCCTATTTTCTGGCTTTTGCAACTTTCAACGTCACTAAGGGATAATTTTCACAAATCAATTTTGGTGTAGTTCAACCTCCTGAAGTTTAATCAACCTAATTCACTTTATCTGTAGGCTGAAGAGAATCCTGTTAAATTCAGTAAGCTTAGTATTAAGGAGTATGAGAATAAACAGGTCTTTCTTTCAACACAGATTAGTGGCTGATGTCTAAAAAATACTTTTTATAAGCTAGATATAGAGCTTAAATTGCATGTCTTCTCAGTCTTAATTATAATTCATCAATATCTGTAAAAATACATAGGTACATTGGCAGAGGTACTAATGTGTAGAAAGGAAAAAGGTTAAGTCATTAGGAATTAAGTAGGGAAAAGGAGTTGTAGAGAGTATAGAAAAAGCAAGTCCATTGATTCTCCTTTTCTGTCACTCAGTTATCTTAGAAAGGGAACCTTAGCTTTTTGTTGGCCTATTTGATCTCAACAACACATTATGTTAATGTCTTCAGGAATGAGGCCTGTGCCAAAAGTAATATTAAGGTTGGGGTGAGGAAGAAAGAAATAACTCTTTATACCCTTTTATAACACCAGAGTGTGTTTTCATTATCTTAAGGAGGGGAAAAAGGAAGTTTCTCTTTTTTTCTTTTTGAAACAGAGCCTGTCGCCCAGGCTGGACTACAATGCCACGATCTCAGCTTGGTGCAACCTCTGCCTTCTGGGTTCAAGCAGTTCTTATGCCTCAGCCTCCTGAGTAGCTGGGATTACAGGTGTGAATTACCACACCCATCTATTTTTTGTATTTTTAGTGGAGACTGGGTTTTACCATGTTGGCCAGGCTGGTCTTGATCTCCTGACCTCAGGTGACCCGCAGGCCTCGGCCTCCTGAAGTGCTGGGATTATAGGCATGAGCCACTGCACTAGGCCAAGGAAGTTTTGATGGGATAGGTAAAGTCTACGGGAAACTCATGCCAGACAAACTTGACTGAAATAAAAGGGCTGGGTGCGGTGGCTCAGCTGAAATCCCAGCACTTTGGGAGGCCAAGGTGTGAGGATTGCTTGAGCCCAGGAGTTTAAGACCAGCCTGGGCAACAAAGTGAGACCCCCATCTCTACAGAAAAACATTTAGAAATTAGCCAGGGGTAGTGGCATTTGCCTGTAGTCCTAGCTCCTCAGAAGGCTGACGCAGGAGGATTGCTTGAGCCCAACAGTTGGAGGCTGTAGTGAGCTATGATCATGCCATTGCACTCCAGCCTGGTAACAGCAATAACCTGTCTCACACACAAGAAAGTCAGGATGAATTACTGAATGGCAAATTCATGGTAGGTTTTGATAAACTGATTATTTGGAGATATAGTTCAAGTCTGAGCTATATGTGAGCACCTGTAATATTTCCTTAACATGACATGGTTCTCATGGCAATTCTCCCAACAATATAGTGGTTAGGAGTGTGGACTCTGGAGTCAGAATGCCTAGGTTTGGATCTTGGCCTTGCCACTTACTAGATGTGTCATTTCCAGGAAGTTTGCTTCCTTATCTGTAGAATGAAATTAGGAGGGCTGCTTTGACAGTTAATATTGGGTAAAGCTGCAGGTGTTTGCTCAATGAAATAAATGCTTAAGTTTTTATTTACTCCTAAAATTCACCGAACCCCTTTTCAGTCCTTTTCTCCTACAAAGAACAAGGACCTTACCTGCATCATGTGCAGCAGCTGCAGGGCCTTGGACATCATCATAGGACTGCCCATCTGTGACAATTACTAGGAAGTTCTTGTTGGGGCTCTCCCTTATAGGGCCAAACACATTTCTAACAGTAAAGGAAATGGCATCACCAGTAGCTGTTCCACCACTCATATAGCGGATGTTTCTGATAACAGCTAGGACATTCTCCTTGGTGTTATAGTCAGTGAAACTGAATTCCATGCGCTGATCATAAGTAAACTGTACAGCAGCTATCTTGGCACCAATGTCCGAGATTTCAAAAGTCTTGGCTATGTTGGAAACAAATTCAAGCATGAGACGGAAATTGCTATCTCCAACACTGCTAGAGCCATCAATTAGAAAGGCAATGTTCACTGAGTTATAACAGGTCTTGCTACACATCATTTGTTCATGAGTGCACAGCTTCTGTACCAGAGGCTTTACGTATTTTGTGGTGCCAAACCAGTTGGGCATGTGGTAAGAGAAGAAGCCATTATTCCGACAGACAGCCTAATGGGGGAGACAGAAGATATCCAAAAGGATCAAAAGTTGTTTCTTCTTAAAAACTATGGGAAATCCTGAATGTTAAAATTAATCTAGATAAGAGGCAGTCAGCACTGCACTCAGAGGTCCAAAATGGAATATCTATCACTGTAACAGAAGATAGCCCTCACCACTTTACCTTGTCAACAAATGAAACATCCTGAACCATCCCCAGTTCTTCAGGGATAGGCTTGGCCACAGAAACTATAAATACATTGACACCAAATTCTCTGGCCACAATGCCTGCTTCCTCGATGTCATCAGAAGGCCAACCATCAATAAATACCACCACCACTTTGGGGATCCCTTTTCTTACTCCAGCATCTACCGTGAAGAATTTCTGAGCTGTATGTTTCAAGGCTTTTCCTAAGTTTGAAAAAGAAGCAAACGAGTAGCATTTACCACTGCTCAAACCACATTTCTGTTTCCCTGTAGCATTTGATGCTGCAAAGTTTAAGAATTACATAGAACTGGCAGTGGAGTGGGGATACATACACAAATAGAATCATATATAACCCAGTTCAGTAACAGATGCATCAGCTGGGAAAGTTTATCTACCAGGCCTATTTTTTTCTCTTCACAAACCATAATACTTCCCCCTCCACCTCCTAGATGCCTCACATTTGTTTACCCCACATCAATCACCAGTTAGAAACAAAATTGATTCCAACTTCTGTGCATGTGCTCTCTATGTAGGCCTTTGGTGACTGATTACTACCTCTAAGAAGTCTGTCTTCAGAGGCAGCAGTAGTGCTACTCTCATTCTTTCTGCCATATCTGCATTCATTACATAAGTCTGTTGATCTTTGCTTCTTTTTAGCATTACAAAGAGGTACTTCTTCAATGTTATATCTAGTCAATCCAGCATATGAGAATTCTAAATCACCATGCTTTATATTTTTTAAAACAAGAAATATCAACTTTGGTATACTTTCCATTATAAATTAAAAATTTATCTAAGATGATCAAATACCAACCTAGCCAAGATTTCAGTTCCAGGAGGAATTTCACATCTGCTCATATAAAATAGCATAATACTGTTTGACATGTCTGATCACTGATAACTCTCTGCAACATCACATCCCAGGTATCAAAGTCTACTTACCTGTATTGGAATTACCCCCTCTGAAACCTACTTCCTTTATGGCAAACAAAACATCTTTGGCTGATGTAAAGTTTTTCAAGTAAAATTCTATTTTGGGATGTTCACTAAGTGGAAGAAAGAAAATGTTATTCAGGGAGAATTAAAAAGGTAAAATAAGCAACATTACATGCCTTAAAAATAGTTTTAAAACCAAACAACACACAACTTTCTTAATTTCACAGTACATAGTCAACTAAGGGATTACATCTTAACTTGAATTATTGGGGATATTTCAGAGGTGTAACAGAATTGCTATATTGAGGATTTATTATATTCTGGGTAATAAGCCAAATGTATAACACTTGTATAACCTCATTTTATTATAGTTGTACAAGGTTGGAATTATTATCCCAGTTGTGTAAATGAAGAAACTAGGCTCAGAGCATTTAGGGAGTTTGCCTGATGAAACAAAGCTGCATTTTAAGTTCACGTTGTCTGGCTCCAAAGTCCATGCCTAAACTATATGGATCACTTAAAGCCAGGCTCGCCTCAGGGCCTCGGGTTTAACAGAAGTCCGCAGAGTTGGGCACCAGGTAGCCAAACTAAATTAGGAGGTGTCTGGGTATGAGACTAGGGTCTGTTCCGTGGAACCCCGCAGGCTCTAAGTAGTGTGGATCTATTAACCCAGGTCTCTCTGTTCAAAAGAAACAATTTCATTGATGTGATGGTCAACAGTTTTTAAGGGAAAAGGTAAAATGAATTATAAAGTTAGAATATTGAATTTTTCTTATGATAACAATGACATTTGGTGTATTGTAAGAGTTTTGAGATCTCATTTCCCATATTTAATATTAAAGGAATTTGTTTTCTATAGCTACTCTGTGTTCATCAGAAACCTTCTTGAGTATAAACAACCAAAGCACAATTTGTAGTGTTTAGTTTCTAGATGAGTCAATATTTCATAGTGCAGAATTTTAAGATCTTAGCATTATCAATAGCTACTTTATTAAGTCAAGATATTTTGAGGGAGAAGTACAACAGTGACTGTAATTCTGCATACATACCTGATGGAATACTGGGTCACAAAATCAGATTTTATGGGTTGAAAATCTTTTCACTTGTCACTTTTCAACCATCCAGATTATGATTAATGAAATTAGTCTCATTTTTGTATCCTATAACAGATATATTCTATTCTTTGACTTACATATAAACTTGACATGGTTTATCTATTCTAATGGTCTTTCTAAAAGAGAAAAACTGCAAACCAGGAAGTTGCAAGAAGCTAGTATTTGTATGTATCTACAAGGTAACGAAGCTTTCATCTTCAAAAAGAATTGCGTCAAAGTAGTCAGAAAAAAGTATAAGACAAAAAGTACTGCAAGAGAATTTGACTCATGGGATGGCAAAATGTACAATAAAACTATGATAATTAAAGCAGTATAGAAAAAAAGTAAGGATTGACATATGAATCAAAGAAATAAACTTGCTCAAACTCAGGTATAAATGTGATACCATAAGTCAATGAAATAAGGACCCATTTTTTTTTTAAGGTGAGAGACAAATGGCTGAATTATGTAAGAACAGTTAAATTTTCTTCTCACACCAAAACAATCTAAAGGGCAAGCCAATTGTAAAAAATAATAAATGAAATAGAAATTAATATTTGTAATAGTACTGTTTATATACCCTTATACACTGCTGTTAGTAGTTGAAACTAGTTCACCTTTCTAGGAAGCAATTTTGCTGTTTTTTAGAAATGGGGCCTTGCTCTGTTGCCCAGGCTGGAGTGCAGTGGTGCCATCATAGCTCACTGCAGCCTTGAACTCCTGGGCTCGAGAGATCCTCACACCTCAGCCTTCCGCGCAGCTGGTACTACAGGCACAAACCACTGTGCATGGGTCAATTTCACTATTTATATCAGAGGCCTTAAGTCAGAATCTTAAGAGGCCTTAACTCCTAGAAATCTAACCTGATGAAATAATCAGAGATGGGCACAAAGATGATATAAGGATGTTTATCACAATGTAGTGTGTAATGTAGTGAAAAAACAATAAAAGAATGACTAAATAATCATGCAGAGGAATATTATAAAATATTTTTGATGAATATTTGTGATATGAGAAAATGTTCAAAATACTAAAGGATGAAGAAATAGGATGCAAGGAATTTTTTATAGTCTGAGCTTTTAAAAAACAATACACACAGTCAAATATTTCCTTAAAATACTGAATGGGCCAGGTGTGGTGGCTCACACCTGTAATCCTAGCCCTTTGGGAGGCTGAGGCGGGTGGATCACCTGAGATCAGAAGTTTGAGACCAGCCTGGCCAACATGGTGAAACCTCATCTCTACTAAAAATACAAAAATTAGCCAGTTGTGGTAGTGTGTGCCTGTAATCCCAGCTAGTCAGGAGGCTGAGGCAGGAGAGTCGCTTGAATCTGGGAGGCAGAGGTTATAGTGAGCGGAGATCATGCCATTGCATTCCAGCCTGGGCTAGGGCATATGTTTGAGGGAATTTTTTTGGGTGTGCTTTAGAAAGGTTATGCTTCAGATAACCAACCAAGAGAATATAAAAAGAGCTAAAAAGAATAACAACAGAATAGGGAGGTGGAGCAGGCATCTATCACTGCTTCTTTCTTCAGAAAAGAGAAATTAGGAATTGAGCAGAGTAGATAAGCACAGGTGACTTGTGTAAGCAATAAGACTCTCTACTCTACCTTCTTGTTCTTATATAGATAGCACACAGTTTTCTAAATTCTTTTATTCCAAAAAGGAGGCACTCAGATCTACTCAGTCTGCCCAGGCAGTCTTAGATCCTGAACTTACAGTTTGGGAATCCAGTGTATCCATAACTCAAAATGTTTATGCTGAACTGACATTTACCCACTAAAAGGATCGATCATTGGTCATCATTCAAGTCATCATTCAAATCTCCTCTCATTTGATTTTTTTTTTTTTTTAATGAGACAGAGTCTCACTGCCACCTAGGCTGGAGTGCAGTGGTACAATCTAGGCTCACTGCAACCTCTGCCTCCTCGGTTCAAGTAATTCTCCTGCCTTGGCCTCCCAAATAGCTGGGATTACAGGCACATGATACTACGTCCGGCTAATTTTTTTATTTTTAGTAGAGACAGCGTTTCACCATGTTGGCCAGGCTAGTCTCGAACTCCTCAACTCAGGTGATACACCCACACACCTTGACCTCCAAGGTGCTGGGATTATAGGTGTGAGCCATTGTGCCGGGTCTCATTTGATTTTGAATGTATCCAACACAAAAAATGATCAACGTTTGAGGTGACGGATATGCTAATTGCTCTGATTTGACCACTATACATCGTATGCCTGAAAACATCACTATGTTGCCCATAAGTATATATAATTATTATATGTCAATTACAAAATAAATACATAATTTTTAAAAAATCTCCCATTTTAACAAGGTTGGTACCTGGCTTGAACAAGGCCCACATGTGGTCCTTCTGTTCCAATTCCCAACATTAGAGCCACTTTTCCAACAAAATTCTTCTGTAAATTAAATCGGCGCTGCCCAATATTAAAGCTTCCATCAATCAGAAATGCAATGTCTGCTTTACAATCTGCAAACACCAAAACCAATCCCCTCGTTAGCAGTCTCAAGAGGAGGGAGGGAAAAAGCTACCTTCACAAATGGTGATCTTCATTCTTACCTTTATTGCCAGTTTTCTTCTCGGGTGTTTTCTTTAGTCGTTTACCTGAAATAAGGATGCACTTGGCATTAACAAAAGGAAGATAGTTACATAGCAAGAAACTCACATGAGGAGAAGCTCATAACAACAGACTGCCATTCTTGAAAGGACTTTAAAAAAATTAGTTTCCTCAGGATTTTCTGGACTAGGGAAAGCAATAACCCAACAAATAAACAAATCAGTATGTAGGCTTACATATTTGACATGCCTCTAATCCAGGACTTTGATACGCCAAACCCACAGGTGAGGCAGAAACATTAGGGTCAACATTAGATCCTAATGTTCTTAATATCTTTGACTTTAAAACTGCCATAGTCATGCATAAGGGGATCCCTGGCTATTTCTCACAATAGACACACACACTGTCACATGACAGTACAGTAATAGAATTTAATGAAGCAAATGGAACTAGAAGTTCATGGTACTTTGACCATTTCTTAGGTGTGGTTTATCAAATCTGGGAGAAGATAGGAGGAATTTAAGAGAATTATTGGGCTAGGTGCAGTGGCTCATGCCTGTAATCCCAGAACTTTGGGAGGCTGAAGTAGGAGGACTGTATGAGGTCAGGAGTTCAAAACCAGCCTGGGCATCAGAGCTAGACCTCTGTCTCTACAAAAAAGTAAAAAAATTAGCTGGGTCTGGTAACGTGTGCCTGTAATACCACCTACTCAGGAGACCAAGGTAAGAAGATTGCTTGAGCCTAGGAGCTTAGGGCTGCAATGAGCTATGATTGTACCGCTGCACTCTAGCTTGAGCAACAAAGTGAGACCCTATCTTTAAAATATATATATAAAATTGAATGTTTCCATATGTAATATACCAGTAAACTTAAGATATTTGCTTTGTTTCTCTTTAATATCAAATTTCTTTTTGAAAATCTTCTATCAACAACACATTTATTCCTAACTTCCAAATGCTGTGCTGGGCAACTAGGAGATAGGTTTCATAGTACATACCTGTTGGTGGATGTGCTGTGGACACTGCCTGTCCTGTGGCCTCCTGTGTACTACTTTTGCCTTCTGTTAAAATAAAAATAAGCTTTTTTTTCCCATTTCCTTCTTTACCAAAGTATTAAGAATCTAATTCAGGGCTCTCTATGATGACAAATGTAATAGGTTAATGGTAACGGTAGTTACAAACATCCTGCTGCATGCTAGTTTCAGAGAACCAAAATGCTTATCCATTGTATCTTTAAAGGATCATTCAGTAGTTTTTCAGTTCTTTGGTAAGTGTCCAGGCATTCTGCAGGTAATTCAAGTTTCTATTCCCATCATCTGCCAGTAAGATTGTCTTCTATTCACCTAAATTTGGTTTCAGTGGGTACTTGATCCCTCAGTCTAACCTACAGTTTACCTCTATATGTCAACCTCAGTCTTGATCACAGGTTTTTCCATCAGGGTTAAAAAGGCTGGGCTAAGAAAAGCAGAAAACTTTTGTGGGGGTGGGAGAATATTACAGAGTGAGAACAATAATTATACCTACTAGTCACTGTGAAAGAAGCAGACCATCTAGAAAGCATTTGAGACTGGATGCCATTGGCATCTACTGAGGAATAGTTTTCTCGACCAGGTAGGCTATAGACTCGCACAGGTCCCCCTGAGTTGCTGATTACTCCCCTGCAACACAAGAAAAGCAGGTGAGACACTATCCACACTTTTTCAGGGCATCCCACTGACTTACAGTGCCATGTTGTATCTATTACTTTGATTAATCAAGAAAATAGCTCATCAGGGAAGTAATCTAAAGATGTTGCTATTGATGGATGGATGGATGGATGGATGGATGGATGGATGATGGATTGAGATAGAGTCTCACTCTGTAGCCCAGGCAGGAGAGCAGTGGCACGATCTCAGCTCACTGCAACCTCTGTCTCTCAGGTTCAAGCAATTCTCCTGCCTCAGCCTCCTGAGTAGCTGGGATTACAGGCACACACACCATATCTGTCTAATTTTTGAATTTTTAGTAGAGACAGGATTTCATCATGTTGGCCAGGCTGGTCTCAAACACCTGACCTCAAGTGATCTGCCCGCCTCAGCCTCCCAAACTGATGGGATTAGCCACCATACCTGGCTGCTGCTAGCCTTTTAAAAACTTGTTTACACAATAACAAAATTTGCTTGGTAAAAATGGCTGTGTGTTGTTAAACTTCTTAAGTGTTGATAAGAATACATTTGTAATATCCGATTACCTACAACTTAGAAATTCAGAGCACCAAACAATTTTCCTGAGATACTCATTTTAACTACATGCTCTTGGACTGCATTTTTATATTTAAAGTATCATAGTGGCTATTCTGCAGGATAGCATGGCACTTGCTAACCCTAGGCACCTTGGGTAAGATACTTGACAACTCTCTGAGCTCAGTTTCTTCATCTGTAACTTGAGTAAAATTCTACCTACCTTGTTGAGTTGTGGTGGAAGTTAAAACAATAGCTGGCACATAGTAATAACTCAGTAATATATCACATGATTAGGAATGTTTTAGAATCACAGGAATCTAGCCATCAAGAAGTAATGCAATTTGCTTTTTGTCAGAAAGCTTTCCATGTGTATTTGGTGTTTCAAGTATATCCAGGAGAACCTTGAAAATATATCCATTTTCTGTGGTCACAATGGCACCAGAAGAAAGAATGCAGGGAGGAAAGGGATCCAGATGGCTAAAGCAGGAAAGGAAATAATCATGTATGCATTTCTCTACCACCCTGGTGTGTTTGGGCTTACCTGTGGACAGCAGCCCCACATATACTCGATACAGAAGCATATACTATGTTCCCGTACACAGAGAATTCTTCAAGAGGGCAGCCCCCTGGGCAGAGGACATCGGCTTTCTCTTTCCTGATGTCCAAGCCTCTGGTAAAACATGTGATAGCAATGGGAGCTAAAGAGAGAGGAGATAATATTGTAGGCATTCTTAGGACTTCTTGGGACATAGTGGTGGGGAGACTACCATGTGAGATTTAAGTTTTACTTCCATAATTTCTACACTTCTAGTCAAGAATATTGACTTATATACCATTCCAAACCATTCCAGATTTCGGCAAGCCACAAGGTTGTTTTCCAATTTAATATAGTCCCCAGCTACTATAAGCATAATGTGAAAGTTCTGTTTTTTGTTTTGTTTTTGTTTTTGAAATGGGGACTTGCCAAGTTGCCCAAGCTAGGCTCAAATTCCAGAGCTCAAGTGATCCATCTCCAACTCCCTAGTAGCTGGGATTACATGTATGCCACTGTGTCTGGCTTCTCAGTTCTTAATCAGGTTGGAAATACATAACTGGAAATATATCTGAACTAGAAAATAAAAGTCACTTAATATTTATTAATTCTAAAAATAGAAAAATTCTTGGCTGGGCATGGTAGGTCATGCCTATAATCCCAACATGTTAGCAGGCCAAGACGAGAGGATCTTGAGTCCAGGAGCTCAGGACCAGTCTAGACAACATAGCAAGACCTCATCTCCTATAAAAAAAAAATTTTTTTTTTTTAATGGCCACACATGGTGGTGCATGCCTGTACTCCCAGCTACTAGAGAGGCTGAGGTGGGAGGATTGCTTGAACCCAGGAGTTCAAGCTTGCAGTGAGCTATGATTGTATCACTGTACTCCATCCTGGGTGACAGAATGAGATCTTGTCTCCAGAAGAAAAAAGAAATTTTAAATCTCAACTTTGATGACACTGTGTACATAGTTGCTTGAGGTAAAGGTAGTAAATCTGGATTGCGCCTTTGTGGAATATTTTCATAGACATGTGCACAAATCAAAGCCATCCTTTCCTACATAGGACTGTTTATCCTAGTTAGCCTACAAATGCAGATCCTTAAAATCACATGTTAAGAAAACCAGCAAAAAGATGCTTAGATTCACAGAAAGTTATTTAACTCGATTGTTCACTTTATAGATGAGAAAATTAAAGTCGTGAGGTTAATTTGCCCAAACAACATTCTACAACACCTGAAGGACAGAAAACAGAAAAGTGAGTCCCTTCAGAATAGAGCATTTTTATCTAAATTGAACCTGATTATTTCCACTCCAGATCTGTCCAAAAAGATTTGTCAGGCAGTGGATGCATTTTTAGAAAGCACTGTTAATATTCTCACGTTAAAGAAGCAAAGTTTACTATAAATGATGCTAGGAAGAGACAAGTTCTTGGCAACAGGTAACAAGATAACATGTTAATTTACTGTCAATACTAAATTGAGATTAATGTTATTAAATACTATATTTCAAACATGGGAAGTTGTGGTTATCCAAACCTTTCTGAAACATACATTAATTTCCAAACCTTTTTTTCAAGGCAGAGGAATACTTTCTGATCATCTGCCCAACTGAGTGACAAACACCCGCCCTCTGCGCTTTGTGGTGACCAGTACCCTGGACTTTACATTCCATGGAAGAGAAGGAAGGATGCAGGCGCAATGCCCATTTCTTAGTTCTGAAACAGTCTAGAGAGCTGAGAAGTTAGAATCCTTACCCCAAACAGCCTCATACCTATCATCAAACAGCCTTAATCCTTCCTCTCATTTCCGCTGAGGTGGGGGTGGCAGCAGAATGCAATGTCGAGACCAACCAGCTGCGAGCACTGACTTTTGCACCGGGAGAAATACAGCCGTGTGCGATACTTACCCTCATTCCTACTTTCAAGGAAAACAAAGTAGCTCTTAGGAAAGCGCTGCCTTTTACATCGTAGGAAATACACCAAACCACACACCCATACCCGGGCCTCTCTACACGTGGTACAAACTTTTTAGATTCCCTGGCGTGTGGAATGAGACCGCAAGTGCTTCCGATTATAGGGGTTAAACCTAGAAACATCACTAGCGAGTCAAACAAGGTGGGACAGCGACGTTCGCCTCCCTCTCTCTCGGCTACTGCAGCCTGAAGTCGGGTCTGGCGGCTTCTCCTTCGCCCCCAACACAGCGGAGCGCGGAACGGGTGCGCTCCTCGGTGGGGCTCAAGTCCTCCTGCCCCTACCTCCCGCTGCCCGCGCTCGGCGGGTCTGGGGTCTGGGGCTATGGGTTGGCCTGGAGGAGGCGTTCTTCCCAGTGCTCTGGGAGAACCTCCCCACTACTGGACCCTAGGGGCCCCTTCCCGTGGGAGAAACAGGTGAGCAGCAGCAGATCGGCTGCAGGGGTTAAGGCGGACGCTTCACACTGCGGCTCCAACCTTCGCGCGTTCCTTCTCAGGCCCTCGGGCCGCCGCTCAGGGGGCTGGATCTGAGTCCCGCTAGTACCCTCTGGTGCTCAGCCCCTGCAACCGCCTGGACTCACCCCAGCTCCCCGACTCACCGGCTCCCTCGCTGCCCATGGGCCCCGGCAGTAGCTGCAGACACACACCTGCGAAGAGAGAAGCGCGAGGGCTGACTCCAGCCTCCACTCCGCGGAGCAAAGAGCCGGGGTCGTGAGGGGAGCGCACTCACCGAGGAAGAGAGTCTGGATCCAGGCTGCGGACATGGTGACTGAGATGCTGCTCCGACCTGGGAGAGAGGGAGAATGCGGGCAAAGCCGGGGTGCGGGGGACCCCGCGCGCCACTCCCTCAGATCCCCGCACCCCTCGGAACCCCGGACGCGGCGCAGGGGAGAGGACATAGACGAGCCGCTGCTCCGGGCCAGCGCCCCTCTAGGTCTGCAGGAGGCGCCTTGGTGGCAAATCGAGCCAAGCCCAGGGACAGTGTGCAACCCCGCAGCGGGGAGGGGGCGCCAATAACCAAGACTGACAGGCTGGGAGCGACAGAGAAACAGGGACAGAGGCGTCGGGGATCCCTCGCTCCTGAGCCCGCAGCTCGGGGCTCCGCACCTGCGCGAGATCCGCCTCGTTGAGCCGAAGTGCGGAAGGCGCTGCCCTTGCGGCCGCTATAAAAGCTGGGCCGCGCGCATGAGCACTGTGTTGGGGGCACGGGGGGCCCGGGCGGGCTCGAGAGTCGGTCCCCCGGGCTGGGCGGCGACCGTCCAGCTCCGCCCTCGCCCCCTCCCGGTCCCAGGGTGAGGCCGGCGCGGAGGCGCCTCCTCCAGTAGCGCGGGCTCAGCCACCTGGACGCGGCGCGGGTCCCTGGAGGGGGCACGGAGGGCCCCGCGCCGGCGTCTCAATGACTGCGGAAGAGTCCGACGGCGGGAGCAGCGGCCTTGTCAGTTCTGCTCTTCGGGGATCAGGGCTGCTAGGGCAGCGGCGGCCGCCACCTGCTCCGATGCTGCCAGGTCCACGCGGCCTGAGAACCGAACTTCCCAACTTGGTGCTCTGTTGGAAACAGTTCCTACTTCTAAAGTGAAACCACCCTGGGTTTGGTCAATGCATGCCCCGTTTTCGTTAGAAACCCTGTTAACTGACTGCTAATCTTTTGGTAGGGATTCGGCCTTGCGCCGTTGTTTCTGCTGGGGTCTAACCTTCCCCACTGGCTCCATTTGCGCTCCTGACTAGGGCCACGCGTGGGAGCTGGCTCAGACCACGGAGAGCCGATACCTTTGCTTCTTTACACCTCAGGAAGAATTTATGCCTGACTGCCTTTCCAAATTCCCAGACTTGGTGTCTTGTGACTGCACAGAATCTCAGATTTGATCATGTGTCCTCCTTCTCCCCCGACTATACCGCTAACGTTTTATAAATGGAAATGGAGAACCAGCAGAATTCTTGAGGAGTGTCAGTGACAGGCCACCTGCATGGCAATGGAAGAACCAGAACCAGACCCAGACCCAGACGCTAACCTTCCTGGTACAATATAAACTTTGTCAAATAGTCTTATATAGCTATAATTTACATGACATAAAATCATCCATTTTGAGTGTACAATGATGTTTAGTAAATTTGCAGAGCTGTACAACCATCACAAGCCAATTTTAGAACACTTTCATCCTCCCCAAAATGATCCCTCCTCTCCATTGTCAGTCAATCCCTTCTTCCACCCCTAGTCCTAGGCAAACACTAGTCTATTTCCTGTCTCTATAGATTTGCCTTAATGGTCATTTCATATAGATGGAATCATACATTATGGGGATTTTTCACTGGACATAATGCTTTTGAGATTCATCCATGAGGCATTATAGAAGTACTTCCTTTCTTTTTATTGTTGAAAAGTATTCCCATACCATTTTATACTGAGAAACAAATACATCACCAACACTTGGAAGCCAACAAGTGTAGTAGTCTTAGTCACAACTATCTTCCTGATTGGAATGACTTAGTATTTCTATCAGGCAACTAAGGAGTGTTAACTAAGGAGTGCTGATTCATTCCCTTTACTGTCTGAATGTCTTCTGGAGGAAAAGAGATCAAATAACATTTGTGGGCTGGGAGGTTTTTCATGTTTATTTTCATGGCCACTTTCAAGATTTTCTCCCTTCCCTCATAGAGAGAATTACCCTTTTCTTAGAAATCCAGTCATCTAGCCACTGCCCCTGATATTTTCCGTGGGAGAAATTTCAAGCCTTAGGACAATTAAAGCTGTCTTTCGTTACTGTTTATTGAGTGTCCTCAATCAGGGTTGGATAACCTTCCCTAATTAGGCTGGGCAAATTGTCATGATGCTATATAATTAGAAAGAGTCCATACGCTGGAAAAAAACCTACCACTTCACAGCTCAGCAGGCAGGTCCCAAATGGCCAAAGGGGTACATGCTATTCAGAGCCCCCACAGGGCACAGGCAGCTTTTCTGTGATGTAATTTCACTGAATGATTTGGCAGAGTCAAAATTATGCAGCTATTTCCATGACAGACCCTGAATCTGTAACTATTAAAAAATAAAGGAAATACCTCATTGAGTTTCATGGTTGTTTACCCAGCTTCATCTTAATTATTTTGTTTTGAAACATTTAAGAGAAGTTACTCTGTCTTTATGATTATTATTTTTTTTGGAAAGGCCAAGAAGGGTAAAAGAATGGGGTTTAGACTCATTCTCAGCTAGTTTGTGTCTCATGCTCATCATATGTGTATTGAAGAAAAATATCTGAATTTAACAGATAATTACCTCTGCTTTGGAAATATCTGAAGAGAGTCAAATCTGGGTATATTTGACTTAAAAAGACAAATTGTTAAAATGACAGTTTTGTATTCAATTGGGTGATATTTTAGGGTAATTGTACTCCTAAAATGCCTGGTTAATCCTGCTTTATTATTTTTTTAATTTTTAATTTTATTTTATTTGAGAGAGTTTTGCTCTCGTCAGCCAGGCTGGGGTGCAATGGCACTATCTTAGCTCACTCCAACCTTCACCTCCCAGGTTCAAGTGATTCTTGTGCCTTAGCCTCCTGAGGGACAATGGGCATCTGCCACCAAGCCTGGCTAATTTTGTATTTTTAGTAGAGATGGGGTTTTTGCTATGTTGGCAAGGCTGATCTTGAACTCCTGATCTCAGGTGATCCACCTGCCTTGGCATTCCAAAGTGCTGGGATTAGAGGCGTGAGCCATCACATCCGGCCTCATTATTTTAAAATGTTTAACTTAGTTTAATCTTATTTTATTTTTATTTATTATTTTTAGAGACTTATTCTTGCTGTGTCATCCAAGCTAAAGTGTAATGGGACAGTCAAAGCTCACTGCAGCCTGCTCACTGCAGAATCAAGAGATCCTCCTATCTCAGCCTCCTGAGTAGCTGGGACTACAGGTGCACATCACTATGTCTGGCTAACTTTTTTAATTTTTTGTATAGATAGAGTCTCACTATTTGCCCAGGCCGGTCTCAAACACCTCACTTCACGTGATCCTCCTGACTAGGCCTCTCCAAATGCTGGGATTATAGGCATGAGCCACTGCACCTGACCTTATCCTGCTTTAATGACAAGTATTTGATAGTCAAAATTTAGACTAACTCCCTGTAGAGCAGTGGATTCCTGTCTGGGCTGCACATAGGAATTACCTGGAGAGCTTTAAGAGTATTCACGCCTGGGTCCCACCCCAGGGATTTTATTATAATTGGTTTGGGCTGGGGCCAGGTCATTAAAAATTTTTAAAGCTCTCCAGGTGATTCTAATATGCAGCTGAGGGTGCTCAGTATTAGAGGTTAAGCTAATAATTCTAGTTTTTCATTCTTCTTTCATTATCTTTTCATTGAAAGTCCACATTTAATTTGCCCACTGTAGTCCCCTGATTAAAAAAAAAAAAAAAATGGAAGCGTTTTCTGCCTTGATGGTTGTTTAAAAACAATCCCTAACAAAAAGATTGAAAACTCAATTTCAAAAGTAATTTTCCCTGAGCGTGCTGTATTGTCACATTTCTGACTTTGTGCAGAATGGGCTGGCATTGTTAGGGGAATAAGCTGCCTCTAAAACTGATACCTGGGTGGCATCTTCAGGCTGTAGGATGCTGCTGATGACACTACAAGTTTCTCAAGGATGGCATAGTTACCTGATGGGATTTGGCTTGTGCTTACACCCACAGAACTCTTAGGTTATAGGCTCTGCCTGTCTCGGTTCTGTTGTTACCTGGGTATGAATCTGCCCTGAAGTGGATACCTGTCCTGTTTTTATATTTTTGTTGTTGGTCTTTTTAACTTTTTTTTTTTTTTTAACCTTATAGAGGAATGTCAGTCCTGTTCCATCCTCTATACCATTTAAGCTCCCCTGTAAACTTCTACTTAGCCATGCATAGCAACTTGGTTTTATTTCCATTATGGTGGCCTTAAAGCAGCTGTAGCCAGTTCCATGGATCACAATTTTTCCACGGGGTTGGTTGGTGGGAGGAGGATGGTTTTGAGATGAAACTGTTTCACCTCAGATTATCAGGCATTGGATTCTCATAAAGAATGCGCCTTTGGGAGGCCGAGGCGGGTGGATCACGAGGTCAAGAGATCAAGACCATCCTGGTCAACATGGTGAAACCCCGTCTCTACTAAAAATACAAAAAAAATAGCTGGGCATGGTGGCGCGTGCCTGTAATCCCAGCTACTCGGGAGGCTGAGGCAGGAGAATTGCCTGAACCCAGGAGGCGGAGGTTGCGGTGAGCCGAGATCGCGCCATTGCACTCCAGCCTGGGTAACGAGAGCGAAACTCCGTCTCAAAAAAAAAAAAAAAAAAAAAAAAAAAAGAATGCGCAACGGGCCGGGCGCGGTGGCTCTCGCCTGTAATCCCAGCACTTTGGGAGGCCGCGGCGGGCGGATCACTTGTGGTCGGGAATTCGAGACCAGGCTGACCAACGTGGAGAAACACCGTCTCTACTAAAAAATACAAAATTAGCCAGAAAGTGGCGCGTGCCTGTAATCCCAGCTACTCAGGAGGGTAAAGCAGGAGAATTGCTTGAACCTGGGAGGCGGAGGTTGCTGTGAGCTGAGATTATGCCACTGCATTCCAGCCTGGGCAACAAGAGCGAAACCGGGTCTCAAAAAAGAAAAAAAAGCGCAACTTAGATCCCGCGCATGTGCAGTTTACAACAGGGTTCGAGCGCCTGTGAGAATCTAATGCCACTGCTGATCTGACAGGAGGCAGTAATGCTCACTTGCCTAGTCGCTGCTCACCTCCTGCTGTGCTGCCTAGTTCCTAACGGGCCACCGACTGGACCGGTTCCAATCTGCAGTCGGGGAGTTGTGAGTTTGTTCACTTTTAGGAAGTGTATGTTTATTCTGCAGTATCCTTTAAGTTTCTATGATTGATTATAGAGCAGAAGTAACTTGGGAACTCGTATCACGTATGTTATTAAACCCACATTGATGTTTATTCTATATCTAGTTTTCCTGATTCTTTTCTGTTGCTCACATCTTATGTTAAGCAAGTATATTCATCTAGCCTTTCCATTTTTGATGAGGTCTAGCAGGAGAATAAATGTCTACAGCCTTGAGGAGTGAAAATTAAATCGATTCAGAGATATCCCTGTGACTAAGGGATCTGTTTCCTCTCCTGTAAAGTGAAGGGGATTAGACCAAGCAATTGGAAGGGGCTTTCCTCTGGTCACATTCTGTGACTGACAAGTGCTCCCTGGGTACATATATAGGCCCCAGAGGCTGTGCTGTCTTCCAGGGTCTGGGAGGCATTAGGAAACACTGGCTGTGCCAGCTGGTTCCCAGCTGTCCCAGGACTCATCCTTTCTTACTCCAAGTCTCTTTTTATTCACCTCTCACTGCTAAACTATGGCCTGGCTCATGTTTGTCCCTTATTTAACAAGAATTAATGAGGTCACATTGTCACTGGAGTGCCACTAAGACTTCCTTCCTAAAAGAGGAAGCTGTGATGGGAAACTTAAGTCAGTTCTGCTAGGCTTGGCATTTATCCCATGTAAACTCATCAGAGGCAAGGAAATTTCTACCTTTTGTTCATTGCTGCACCCCTAGTCCCGAGAAAAGTGTCTAGTACACTATGTGTACTCAATAAATACTTGTTGAGTGAATGA